ATTGGTTAAGTTTCCTAGTTACATGATAGAACTGCTTAGCAGCTACATGTTAGGCTCAAGTAAGTGCCCAACATGGGCTGACTGACTCTTATCATTAGACTGTTTCTTGTCTTAAGTAACTGCTGCAAATCTAGTGCATCTGGTTTTGAGCAAAACACCAGAAGTGCATTCTTTGCTGAATAGCAGTCTGAATGCAGCTGGGATGGATTTGGGGTCTGGAAACATCTAGGGTTATTTTATCTTTGGTATTCAGGACTCTCTGGAAATCACCATGGCTGGTCATACACAATAATGGACTTTCTTGAGCTTGTTTTGGCTTTGCGAGAGAGACAAGGTTGCCATTTCCAGCACTTCTTAGCTTTGCAGGGTCTCACTTAAAACCACAGAATCCCAGCACTAGCTTTTGGTATGGGTAGTGCTGCTGAAGATGGAGTATTTTAGAGAAAATGCAGGTTTGGTGCTATGAATTTTGCTTTCCCTTTATTTTGAAGACAGGCATGTTGCAGATATAAAATCAACAGCAATTTGAGAGTTTTATTCCCTGTCTTGAAATTTGATCGAAGACTGCAAAAGACTTTCACAGAAAAAAACTGAACACATTTGTGTCTTGAAATTAGATTTTTGATAATAGCTCTTTGTCCAAGAGTAAAATAATCGAGCAGCAGCATGTTAATAGGAAAAATATTTAATTGCTGGCAGGATGCAACTTCTGAATTATTCCCTCAGGAAAAAAGGTTGTATAAATATGTACTTGTTTCACTCCATACGTCATAAGTAAATTGTGCATTATAACTGCAGATACATTTTTAATAATATGCTCTAAGTTGAAATATGTTTTATATGTTTTAGAAATATATCAGTAATATAAAAAATAATATTTTCATAGGGTCTTATGTTTAAATTTTTGATACTTCTAAAGTATTTTTTAGAAAGTGTTTAAAAGGAGTTTAAGCCTCTATATCAATTATTTGCTCCATAGAAAAGTTGTTTTTTCTTATCCATAATGTTTTAAATTTGTCTTATTTTACTGTGGGTTTTTTTAGTGACTTTTACCACTGGAGAGAGTACACTGTGTATAGGGGGGTTTGTTGTGAGTTTTGGTGGGGTGGTTTTGAGAACACCTGAAATTCTTAAGCTGTGCTCTTAGATTGTAAGTTTTTGCATATTGTTTACCAATTCTCGAGTCTCTGCAATACTAGTTCAGTAAAATTATTTTGTGTAATTAAGCAAATAGTATGACAGTGCAAGAATAGCATAAATAGGTGTTAAGTAAAGAATAGCAATGACATAGGATGATCAAGGAGAAACTGTTTTTTTTGAAGCATAGCTGTAACAGAGAACTGAACTGCAGATGTCAAGACCCTTGTGTCAGTGTTGCTGGCATAAAATATTTTTAAAGCTCAGTTGGGGGTTTTGTTCCTTCATGTTTTAATTCACATATTCTGTAGGTGTTTATGAATATAGATTAACTGACATTTTCTATTGTCAGCTCCTTTTTACAGCTGCAGATTCAGCCAAAAGTTTGTATGCCGGTGCTCTGCATTGAACTGAATTTTAATAGGACTCTTAAAATTAAGTAATTTTTCAAGAATGTGGACATTTTTTAACCCCAGTTCATGCATTTTTGCATGTAGACCTATCACTGTCAATCAAGATTTTAAATTTGATAGCTACCTTTATGCTTTCTCAGCATAATGTCCATGCTCCACCTCAGCAGAGCAGCACAGTGCAGTTCCTGCACTCAGCTTCTGAGATCAGAAAGCAAAAAAGCCAGGGGAGGCTGCATAGGACATAGCTGATGACTTGAAAGTGCAGAACAGACAGGAAGGGTGAAAGGGACAGAAGCTGAAGGTTTAGGTATGGGGAGGAGGGGGTGATTAGTATCAAGGGGTGAGGGGAAGAAGGGAGTTAAATACACAACATAAAGAAAGGACACCAAAGCCAGAAACAGGAGACAGCAGATGAATGATGGCAACAAAATGGACAGGGAAGAAAAGCAGCAAAGGGTAGGTAGTTGGTGGGGATGGGAAAACTAGCCAAGACAGAAGACACATAAGAGGACTTTGCAGGAACTTGGTGGGGAAGGATGCTAGTGGCATGAATCAAGTGGCCATGGATATGCAATAAACAGGAGGAAGAACAGCAAAGAAACTGAGGCCCAGAAGCTGAAGCTGGGGAAGGACAAAAATTGAGCAGGGAGCAATAGGGACAAGAGCAAAAAGGATTTCAGAACTTGGACACAAACATCTGCATGGTGGAGCTGACATTTATTCCTGCATGAACATTTCTCTATTGCTGAGCAAATAGCTGTGAAAGATGGAGGGAAAATGTGTTGTGCTTTGCCTGTGGCAGGCCAGCTCATCCAGCAGAGAGCTGCTGTTTGGTGTTACTGTTGAGTCCATTAATGAAAATTGGAGAGCTCTGTGCCCCAGGTACCAGTTTACTTCTGGCGCTTGGGGTGGCAGTCTGGTTCATGGATTTGTTGTTCTTGTTGCAATTTTGAAGTCTATAAAGGTGCAAGGAGCAATGCTAAAAATAAAATATGAAGTTAAGCTCTCCAGAATTGCAGGACAGCAGTTAGGTAATGCAACCACAAACTGCCTCATGCGGTTAAGCGTATGATAATAATAAGCTGTTTAAAAATAAGCTTGTGCATATAATTATGTAGATGGTAAGCTATTAAAGATTTTATGGGTTATAGAATGATACAGCTCTTATTTCATAATCGGCATCTAAATACTTGCAGAAAGTGAAAAATATTAAAGTATTAATGTAAATGTATGTCTTTTTTTCTTTCTAGAAGTGTGCTTTATTTGGGTTTCTGTTGGATGCCTGTGTGCTGATAAGAGTAGTGATCCAATAGTAGCATTACAGAGATGTTTTTTATAAAATGTTAGTGAAGATGTATTGCCTGAAGTGCACGTAATAAATGAAATGTTTTCTGATGATATAGAGCCTATCAGGAGCGAGGAGGGTATCCGCAATAACTGACTTTAATGATATAGTAGGATTTTTACCTAGCATCTTTTAAATGATCCCTGAGGAGTCTGTAGGAATGTTGTTAGGAAAGCATGTAAAGAGTTGTTCTGTACCGAAAACTAACTCTGGAACATAATAATTTAAAGACTTGAAAAAAAAAAATAAAAAATAGTCACTTGTGAATTCAAAACCAGTATTATTGAACTGTTCCACTAACATATTTCAAATCACCAAAGTCCTCTGCCCAAGTGAACATGAAAAAATGCCTGAAATGCAGGCATTATAAAATCATAGAATCACAGAATAGTTAGGGTTGGAAAGGATGTTAAGATCATCAAGTTCCAACCTGCCTGCCATGGGCAGGAACATCTCACACTAAACTATGTCAACCAAGGCCTCGTCCAACCTAGTCTTGAACACTGCCAGGGATGGAGCATTCACAGCCTCCCTGGGCAACCCATTCCAGTGCCTCACCACCCTAACAGGAAAGAATTTCTTCCTTATATCCAATCTAAACTTCCCCTGTTTAAGTTTTAACCCGTTATCTCTTGTCCTATCACTACAGTCCCTAAGGAAGAGTCCTTCCCCAGCATCCCTATAGGCCCCTATAGGCATTGATACAAACCTCAGTGCAAGGTGACAGTGTTTACTTCAGGGTCTAAAACTAACCTCTGAAGTGATAGTTTAGATTTTGTTTTCATTATGGTTTTGTTTGTTCACATGTTTAAAGGCATTGTAAGCTAATTAGCAGAATAATTGCTATTTTTCAGGTAACTTAAAAAATATCTCTTGGTTATTTCAAATCAAGCTTTTATTTACTACTGTTATTGCAAGACAGCATTAGAAAGAGTTGTGGTTCTCCTTTCTAATGACACTATTGCAGTTTTGTTAATACACCGTGGCAATGCCCAAATGGATGAATTAACACCAAGGCTCAGAGCTCATATGTGTATTCTGTTTAAAACTAATGTTACCACAGAAATCCTTTGGGCTTCTTCCTGCTCTAGCAGTCTCACTTTTACCCTTCTGTTGGATCTGTTTAGCCTGCATCATTTTCCTGTGTCCTTCCCAATATTGCCTTCGCCCTTCTTTGCAAAGAAAAAAGCTCCGTGTTGCATTGTCCAGTATTCTTCCTTTTGCAATTCCTGCCTCATCCTTTTCCTCCGCAAAGTACAGTTACATCAGTCCTCTGTCACAGACAACTGCCAAGGAAGCTGGTAGTTTTTTGCTACCAATTGTACAGCCTTCTACAGCTGTAATGTATTTATTCAAACTATGGTTTCCTTAGCTTTCCATAAGTGCAGTATACTCTTTGTGCTGTTACACTCTGCTGCCTTTTCTCCCAAAGCCAACCCAAAGTTCCCCTCCTTGGCCCTGTGGGCTCGTGGCTTCCAGACCACTGTAATTCATGGGTTTATTTTTGATGTACATATAAATTTCTGCCAAGCAAAATGGAAGATTGCACCCTGCTGTTGGTACTATTTTCTCTATTTGTGTGGCTGTTTTCCCAGGTGCCCTTGAATGGCTCTTCTGCCCTCTGTCTGTACAGTACCCCTTGTCATAGTATTGATCAGCTACTTTGCAGATTCTGGAGTGTGGCTGACTGTTCTGTCTGTAACTATAGCTAAGTGCCTATTTTGTGGAATATTCTCTCTTGTGTCATCATTAGCTGTAGTCCCGTGTGTGTGTTAAAGAAGCAAGGGGAGGAGGAGGGCTGTGAATGTGATGCATTGGGGTCTATTCTTGAAAGATGACTGGGCAAAGTAAAAAAACAGCCAGAGTGCACAGCCAGTTCTGAGGTGCCATTCATGAAAAAGCAGAGGTCCAAATCAATTTGGTTTTAAATTATTATGCTATATTGATTTCAAATTTATATAAGGTAATTTTGAATCATAATGCAGGTTTTGTATTTGCTTCCTCAAACTATTACATGTTAAGATTCATGCCTGCAGAAGTAATCATTGAATATGTCTTTCTCTGTTTGAGAGATTACACATTTCTTTCTATTCATATTCTTCCAGGTGACTTGGATTATTACTGGCTGGATCCTGCCACGTGGCACAGCAGGGAGACATCCCCCATTAGTTCGGTAAGAAATAGGAAAAAGGAGGTTTGTAAGTATGAATGAAAATATTTGCTGATTATTTCAGTTCAGCATAGTAATTTTGTTGTGAAAAATTATTCTGTGCAAATTATATGAACATTTGATTTGGTGAATCATGAAAATTGAAATCAGGCAGAAATTTTTATCAAAATATATACTAGTAAAATTGCCTGAATTTAAACTATTAACTTCTTTTCTAGACATGATATTAGATTTCACTGCATGCCACAAAAGCAGCTGTGAGTATGATGCTGCTCTGGGAGAGATTAGTAACTTTTCCTGTTGACTTAGAGTGGGATAGGATCATCCGGATTTTTTTAATTTTTTATTATACTGAACCCATATGGTAGAGCTGAATAACATGTATATTATGCCAAAGAACAGAATTTATGAATGAACTTTCCCAGGTCATGGAATTTAAAAATAGAAGTTTAATTTTATTACCTAAGGGATGTTTTAAATGTTTAATTGTATTGAACCTTGAACATCATAATTCTACCTGTAGACTTAGTGCTGAGGTGTTTTACAGTGGACATAAATATTTAATGACGTCAGAGTCCAACAGATATAATAATAGAGACCTCAGGTGTGATACGTAACACATCTGAGGGATGTTTGTGTCTCCTGTGACATAATGATCTAGAAATTTTATTGGTTTATAAATGTGCATCTAAATACAGGAAGATGGTTCCACTTTAATTTCACTGCTTGGTTTTTTAACAGCATCCCGTAACGTGGCAGCCTTCTAAAGAGGGAGATCGCTTAATTGGGCGTGTTATTCTCAACAAGAGAACAACCATGCCAAAAGAATCAGGTGCATTACTGGGGCTAAAAGTAAGTATTGCATGGTTTATGTGGTAAATGAAAGAAACTTCCACTATCCTAGAGGTCTAACACCTTAAATCAGAGGACTCTCCAATTATGTGGTCATTTGATAAAAATAGATTCTTCATTTTTAGTAAGTTTGGAAAGTTATACAGATAAATTATGAATGTAAATATAATGAGTATGCATAAAAACCCTTTTATGCAGTCTTCCACTTATTCGTTGCAAAGGAGCTGAACTGTTCTGATCAAAAAGCCTATGTTTATGTACCTTCCTATCTGCAAACATATATTACACATTGCAGTGCGTTAATCGAGTCCTGCCTTTTCTAGCTCTACTGTTTGCATTTCGGTCAAGTAATTAATCTCATAATCCACATACATAAATGTCATCTGGATGCAAAGGTCAGTGTTTAAAATCCACGCAGCCATTCAGAAACAGAAATTCTGTAGAATGAAACTAAAAATTTATACAAAAATTTGCAAAAAAGACCTCTTAAAACATACTAGAGATTGTATTAAATGTAATTCCAGTTAATCTGGTGCCATAAAATTAAGACATTGGCAACACTGTTCATTTTATTTAAATCCGTAAATTAGTCATCTGTAGAGGACTTTTAGGTTCGTGTCCCTGTTTTGCCAGAACACATACAGAGAGTGTGACTTCCGAAGGTGGTGGGGACTACAGTGTGCCAGTTCAAGAATTTCTCTCTCCATGTATATTTTTAACTACATCATGCTCCAAAGATGAGAGAATTTAATTTGGGTGTCTTCCTCTCCCCGCTGAGAACAGCAACAATGTCATATATAAAACATTCCCATTCACTGAGGACTGAGTCCAATTCCAAGGCCTCCTTGTATGTAGTTGTCTGGTAGTTCAGTCCCTTGCATGTGATGGAGATGTGGGTTGTCGCTTCTGCTTATCATGTTGGGAGTTAAATCAGGAAAGAACTTTGTGATCTTGATAGTAGTATGTCCTGGGTAAGAGCCATTTATCCACCTTGAAGTGAGATAGTGTGGCATGGGAATACAGAATTTGAGAACAGCTTCATCCTGCTAAATGTCTCATAGTCTGTAGCACAAAGGCTGCTTCTTGCTGGCAGTAAGCAATTTTATTTGTTTTTTAATATGTGAGAAAAAAGTTTGGTCCTAGTAGGAAATGAACTTCAAGTTTTAATTGGATGTGCTCTTGCAATTTAAACTTAAGCACTTGCAGACTATTTGCAAAAAAAAAGTGCATCTTTGTGGTCATTTAGTAAGAAACATTCTTTCTGCAACAAATTTTGATATTTAGCAATCTGCATAAGATTGGTTAGTCAAACATTAAAAGGAATATGAATTTCACAGAATGGTTTGGGTTGGAAAGGACCTTAGGATCATCTAGTTCAACCCCCTGCCACAGGCAGAGACACCTTCCACTAGACCAGGTTGCCCAAGGCTCTGGCCAGCCTGGCCTTGAACACTGCCAGGGATGGAGCATTTACCACATCTCCGGGCAACCCATTCCAGTGCCTCACCACCCTCACAGTACAGAATTCTTCTATCTAACCTAAACTTCCCCTGTTTAAGTTTTAACCCATTACCCCTTGTCCTATCACTACAGTCCCTAATGAAGAGTCCCTCTCCAGCATCCTTGTAGGTCCCCTCAGATACTGGAGGTCTGCTATGAGGTCTCCACTCAGTCTTCTCTTATTTAGGCTGAACGGCCCCAGTTTTATTCATTTTGCATCTTCTTTTCAAGTAGATCTGGCCTTTTTTATCTAACTTCATCTTTAAGCCTCTGTGAAGCCCAAATGGACAATAGATATGCTTATGCATATTTCAGGTTTAATTTGAAAACAGATGCTTGATATGATGTCAGGTTTGTCGCTTGGAAACTCACAAATTTATGATTAACTAGGTTGTTGGAGGAAAAATGACAGAATTAGGACGACTCGGTGCCTTCATTACCAAAGTGAAGAAAGGTAGCTTGGCTGATGTGGTGGGACATCTCAGAGCAGGTAAATCAATCAGTTGCATATAACATATACTGTCTTTTAATTATGCCTTTGGAATGCAACTGCTGATTTATATCAACGTTGGTCATGTGATATGATCATTTTTTTAAAATACAGGATGAAAATGTTGTTATGGAATGCCACAGTTGCTTACATTTCTAATTTGTTATTGACTCCAATTGCTTGATTTATGAGCAAAATGACAATCCTGATAAGTGCTGGTGACAGGACTGAGTGTCACTAGTAAATTTTTGCTTGCTGGTTCAGGAGATGTTTGTTATACTCTATAGAACCAATGCAAAGTGTTTTTTTTTAAACTGTTTCATTATGGCAAACAAAGTTCACTGCAGTTGCTTTACTTGCACTATAGTGTCACTAGAATGGTAATGTACTGTGTACGCAGTGGACCTTATTAGTGCTTCTTTCAGTGTAAATTGTCACAAATAAAAATGGTAAACAACCCAAGAAAATGATCTTCAAATATTTCATTTATATAAGATGTCTATATTGAACTTACAACTAAGTGGCTGTGCTGTTACCACTTTTCAAGCTCTTAAATGAAACAAGAACCATGCCGCAGCAGTTGCTTTTCAAAGTTACTTATTAGCAGTTTATATTTTTACCATGTCTCTAGCAGCTACTTTCCAAGTGTCCTCTTAAAAAAACAAAGTCTGTGCAGTGCTTCCTTAGGAATCCAGAAGCTCTGATGACAACTTGTATGAATTTAGGATAATTTCATGAAGCAAGTAGTAGTAGTAAAGAAATAGGAAAGATGATCAGTCTCTGAAAATATCCTTCTTTGTTTTGCCATTGATAATATTTTTTACCAAATAAATATAGATGGGGTTAGTAACACCAATTATTATAATTCTTTATATATTTTCAGTGCAGATTATTATTATTATTAAAGAAAATAAGTCTCCACTGATCTTGAGCTATTTGGGCTGAAATGCTACATTTCTAATCACTGGTCTAGATTGTTTTTTAAGTCTAAGCTATTTTATTTTCTGTCCTTATGAAAAACCACCAAAATTTGGCTAGTTGATAAATCCTTGAGTAATTGTACAAACCTTATAAATTTTAACAAAGGCAAATATGAAGCCTTGCATCAGGAGCAGAATAGCCCAGTGCAACAGTAAGCACTAGGAGCCAATCGTCTAGAAAACAGCTTTTCAGAAAAGCATCTGGAGATGCTGCAGGACAGTAAGTTGAACATGAGTCAGCAAAACACCCTTGCAGCAAACACCAATCATGTACAAGTCTGTATTAGCAGTATTGTGGTCAGCAGCTTGAGAGAAGTGGTTGTTGTTCTCTATTCAGTGCTTATGAGGCTGTATCTGGAGTACTGTGTCCAATTTGGGTTCCTCTACTACAAGAGAAATACTGACAAACTGGACATGTCCAGTTGGAGTTTACATGTCAAAGTTTTGAGTGTCTGGACATTGTTTTCCTGTTTCCATGCCTGTTACTGAGAGCAGAAATCAGAATGTAAGCCTTACAATCAGCATCTCAGATGAAAGAGACAATTTGAAAGGGTCAAAAAGATCAAAAGTTGGACAAGCGAGCAAAAGATGGATGGTGATCTGGTTAGAACTAGCAGAAACGACATTTCACTCAAGTCCCCATTAGGATTTAGTTTTCAGTAAGAGTAACTGGAGCCACTTCTGTTAGTTTAGCATTTTGACTATGATGATCTTATGTTTAATCATCTTGGCAATTTTTATTTTCCACCTGTTTGATTTCCAACTGACTCTAAAAAGTAAAAAAAGTCCCCTAAAATAGCAATACAGACACCTTCCATGTTTCTCTTCAGGCTTCTCAATCATGTTTCAGGTATTCTGTCATCTTCAAAATATGACAGATAAATTGCTGTGTAAGTTAGGTTTAGGTTTTTATTGCTAGAAATTTAGCATATGTCCCTGTTGGTTTTTGCTATTAAGTTGTGAGTGCTGCAAAGCTGGTCACATCTCGTTCCACTTAATGCCTGGTATGCTTCTCCAGATTAAGCCAATTATCTCTCAAGGAAACAGATGTTATTTTAGGGAAAATCAACATGTTAGTTTATAACAGTTGTTAGCATTAAAATACAGTCAGAATGACAGAAGAAACTGTGTGTGTTTTCACTAAGTTGTATAAATTTTAAATGAAGTTCCTAGGCAATATCTAATTCCTGTCCCCCTGTCCTGTCCCCACCCCCAGCATAACATGAATATACAAAAATTTAAAACCATTTCAGCTAAACAACATACTAGAAAATTAAACCTGGGTCAGCAATAATTTACTAAGCCTGCCATCAGCAAGCCCTCATGTCTTAAATAATGCCAAATTGGTTTGAAAGCTAGTGGAATACTCTTTCCACTGTGGAAGAGTGGAGTCCTTTCTTAAAATACCAAAATATAGACTGTTTGGGAAAAAAGACTAACAATTTCTGAGCATAAAGAGAAATTGAGCCCACATCTTTTGATAGATAGGACTTCAGTTAGGATAGTTTTTCTTGGCTTATTAACAAGCATGAGTTTGATCATTTGGCTTAGATCTCAAAAAGGAGCAGAGCCAGCAGCTGAAGGGTTGTTCCTTGACTGAACCTGATAAACATAAAAACATTGCTTGCATGTTGATAGTGAAGAAAGTTATTTGTGTCATTAGACAGTGTTTGTAAAGTTTTGACTGCTGCATATGATGGGGTGTGAGTGCAAACTTCCCTTATGCTTCCTGCAGTTTAATTGTATGTACTGATCTTTCTTTAGAAACTATACTTAAAGTTTTTCACCATTTTATATTAGGGCCAAAATACATTTTGAAGTATTTACTATTTAAATTCCAGAAATACTAAGCTGGAAAAAGAAAGGTAACTTTCGCATCATGTTTTCCCCCATCCCCTCCCCCCTAAAATCCTCAAGAAGTAGTGACTTACTCCTTTTCCTCCTTGCTTTTATTTTTGGTTAGTTTGACACTGACAGTGAAGACTGTTCTTCATGTAGACAAATCAAAACACACAGTATATAAATTGTAATAAAATGTCCTGATTTTTAAGGGCTTAAAAGTAGGTATTGAGTGTTACTTTTTTTTTCATTTTTGAAGATTAACCTGATTTCAAAGTTTATTACCACTAGTTAATAAAGGATCTTTTAAAAAGACTCTTCCATTTCATAGCACAATGACATGTTCATTATTTTGGAAATACTTAGTACGTTTGTACAAGTGGTTTCTTTAATGTGTTTTGTGTGTACCGATTGTAGCTGTGTTCTGAGAAAGGAGCCTTCATAATGTCTTAAAAACTTTTTTTGTGTTTCAGCACAAATTAATTTTGGGCAATGTTACTTGGTTATATAGATTCCACAAATGTTTTGCAATTCTTTGTGAAAGAATATGAAAATGAGATAAACTTCTCTTTAAATTCAAGGAGATGAAGTTCTAGAATGGAATGGTAAACCCTTGCCTGGAGCTACAAATGAAGAAGTTTACAACATTATTTTAGAATCAAAATCAGAACCTCAAGTTGAAATTATTGTTTCAAGGCCTATTGGGTAAGGCTAAAGACTTGCTTCTTCAGCACAGTTATTACTTCTACTAATGGGACTATTTGTGAATTAATTATTCTTTATTTCTTAATAATGAAGTATGATTCACTTTCTGTTATTGACATTGTGTATTCCATTTCTTCACTGCCATTTACAATCTTGGATCTTTGCAGTGTTATTTATAACTATAAATGTTGTTTTCTGTATGGTCTAAGTACTAACTAAAGATTTTTGCCAAGTGGCAAAGGAGAATTGGTGGACCAAGTGGACCTGTGCATGAGAAAAACTGTTTTTCAGGCTTTTCGCTTAATTAAGAATAACTTATACAAGTATTCATGAGTAGAAGGAGGCATCAGCAAACTGACAAAAAAAGGAAAACCAAAGCTCTTAATAGAGAAGATTGTATTTAGCCTTAGATGGTACTATCATCAATATCAAAAGTGGAAACAGAAAGTTTCATTAAAAATTAGCATTACCATTTTATGTTTATAACCTTTATTTTTATTTATTATTAATCTGAGTTTAGGGTTTTGTGATAACAATTCTTGTATTCTTGATTTCCCAAATAAGTTTTTGAAAGATCATAAAATCTGTTTGCGTTAGTTAAATTAGTGAAGTTGGCCCTGCATTTGTCACTGATGATCTACACTCCTTCCCCAAACACGACTCTGTTGGAACTGTTCTGAGATAAGTCTTACAGGACTGGATGAATCATACATTGTAAATTCACATTTATTTGCAGAAACAGAGTCACGTGATTAACAAATAAGTGACTCATACCATTGCCCTGCAGGTATATAGTAAACTGTTTCCTCCTTATGAATGCATGATTATTTCATTTTCAATTTGTTAGTTTTCAACCTAATTATGATTTTTATCTGCCTCAAATATGATACTTTTTTCAGTTTTAGAAAGAAAAACAATGTTAATTTTCTTTCTGACTAAATCATTCTTCTTTCACATTTATTACATACCAGCTTTTAATTTTTTTTTACTGTGCAAGTTTAGCTATACTTTGCAAGTAAGTTCTGCCTTTTTTGATGGCAATCACTATTAAAAGTACTTAAATAAAATTAACATTTGATGCTAATTCCAGTTATGAGTTTCACCTTCTAATGGAAAACAAAAGCTTGATGCAATAATAGTGGTTTTTAAAGGCTAAAGTTGCCATTCAGATGGAGACTGTGGGGGACTAGAAACTTTATTTTGATGATGAGTTAGGAGACATTCCTGAATGTAGATTGCCAATTCAGTCCTTTTTTTTTTTTTAATTAAAGTGTCATTAGGAGGTTTTTATAAGTTTAGTTTTTAATGTTTAAATCAGCAGAAAATAAGTATGTTGATATTGGAACTCACTTGAACGCCATGTCTCAGTTGAAGAAAGCCTGAATATTGATTTCTACAGCTGCTGTAAAAGGAAGGAGCTAGATTAGTATTTTAAATACTAAGCTGTAGATATATTAACAGTTATCAGTATATTTTCATATGTCATATATCCTTCAGTTTTTAAGATAAGTTCATCATTAAACCAATTGAATTATCTTAGTTTATGAATTTAATAAGTCTAATAGCTTCAAAAAAATTAAGTAAAAAGTGACCACATTTGACTGACATATTCTTGAAGAAAAATCAAGAGAAAATACTGTAAACCAAGGCACAGAACGTTCAAAAGTGCATTCAAAATCAAAGAGTGTTTCTGAATCTGAGCAGTGAATTTTGCACTAAAGAAGTGCACCCAGAAGTAATAAGTAATACCAATAAAATGTAAAGTTTTGCTTTGGATGACCCATGTGTATTTTTTCCAGACACAGGCAAAAATGAAGCATATCAGATTGTGGTTTTATTTTCAGATAAAAATGGCATGGAGTCTTTTACATACTATAATAGCGCTATTCTGGTAGACTTGTGTCTTGATTTTTTTTTTTTCATTTGTTTGTTTGAGGCTTCTTCTGAGGGATGCTTCCTTTTTCCAGCAGTAAGGAGTCAAAGTCCTGTGGTTTTGTATCACATCAGGATTTACATGTCTGTCATCTTAAAAGAAAAAAATATCAGACACCATACAAAGAGGGAAATCCTGATATTAATTAACAAAACAGAACACAGTGCCCAGGATTTTCTTATTTTTTTCTCTTAAAAAAAAAAATAATTACAGCCCGTGTAAATTGGTTACATTTTCTGGAATATATTCCTTGCATTAGCAGATTACTTTTTTTCCCACCCTTTAGCTTCTCCTTGTCTTGTTATCCGCGCTATGTGATTTTTTTTCAAATTCGTAACACGATATTTTATTTAATCCAACAAATCTAGTATGTCAAAAGTTTGCATCAACTTCAGGTGCTGACTCAGCAAAATTGAAGCTGCCTGGTATAGTAATAAGTGGTAATCCATCACACCTAAACTTCTTGTGAGGAAATAAGTTCCCAAAAGACTTGAAAAATGATATTTTGTCTGCATAATTTAAGTGTTTTCATCTCTCAGTATTAATAATGCAAGTAATGTACCAGCACTTTTAATGGTCTTGATTTAAAAAGTCCTACCATATTAGGTCTAAAAAGCCCAAATATGACGCAGTTTGGCTTAAGTGAATAATGAGAGGATAGTAAACCTGTAAATTAGACTGTCCACAGATTAGACTGCCAGTTCCAAAATTGATGTCTAAACAATTTGCTCAGTCTTGTAAATTTGGATTTCTGTGTCTACCAGTAAATGTAATTTTGAGAAATGGATAATTGTAGGATGTTTATTAGAGAACAATATGAAACATGTAACACTATTAGCAGTTGAAGGCGTAACAACAAACAATATAACCACAATAGTACTGTGACAACTTCATAAAAACTAATTGACTCTAATGCTAATGATTGCACTGCAAGGTAGAGAAGAAACCTATAAAAAGTAGAATTAATGGGTTGGCTATCTAAATATGAGGGAAGGATTTACCTCTGAATATGCATACAATGTGAGAGGTAGTTAACATAGGAGAGCATAGAAAATCCTCTGGCACTGTTTTCTGGAGGAGAAACGTGGCATAGTAACCAGCTTACCATCTCTTGTGTGCTTGGGTGAGCTCTATGGGACAGTGCAGGTAAAGAAAATGTTTTTTTTAATTTGTCTCTGGGTTTTTTTTTGTTAGATGCTAGCTACCTTTGCTTGGATTTCCATAGATAATACTGCAAAAGTTGCTGTTTTTCTTGTGTGATTCAGCTTCTCTATTTAAGTTCTGCTACTGTGCTCTAGGTCCTGAAAAGGAGGTTGAACCTCCATCATAAACCAGGCAGTACTGTATTTCAGCGAGTTGCTCAAGTAATGTAATTAATGCAGACTTCAGGTTGATCTGCAGGTTAGGATGATGGGAAAGAATGGCTTTGGAAATAGGATGAGCTCTGGGGACAGGCACTTAGAAACTCTTGGAAACTCTGTAGGGTGTAGAGGATGATACTTCTGTCACTAGAGCAACCTCAAAAAGTGTGGGTTACAACTACATTTGAATTTGGTTTGTCTTCAGTGATCAAGCTTTTGACTGTAGCCCTCAGAGAAATTATAACTGTTCCTGTGTTTTACAAAAGTGATCCACACAAGCCATATTTCTGTACAGAGTAGTCTCAACCTAAGGAATATTTTGGTTAAATTAAACCATTATGTAAATTATGCATTCATTGAGGTGTGAAAGGATCAGTTATAAGATAATCTTATGTTACATAACATAAGATCACAAAATACCTTTGTCTTCCGAGGCAGAGAAAGAAAGACAATTTAATGTTGGCAGCTCTTTACCGGATGTGTGTCTGACATTACTTTTCAGACATTCACATTGCTTCAAAAGGGGAAGAAAATTTTGTTACTCTTCTCAATAGGAGGTTGTTCAACTTCCTACTTTATTATTACCTTTCACATTGACTAGTCTAGTTTTGAATATTTTAAGTCATGAGCTACTATTTCTTCTGAAAAGCGTTTTTGTAAATCATAGTGTCAGAATATTTTCTGCAATCCAAAAATAAAGGCAGGATAGATAAAACAGTTCTTTTTCCATAACAAGTTTTAGATTATAGTTTCTTGTGTTCATGTAATATTTAAGAAATTATTATGTAAACTCGATTATTGAATTTGTAAGAAATTCACATATAGACAGAAGCATAACTTCATGTACATTTTGAAGTCAATAGCAGAAAGCAGAACTATTACAGAGCTCATTAGAAAACTCAGCCAGGAGTTTGGTGATCAGAACTATATTGCATATAAACTTAATTTATTTCTTTTATTTTTGTGTCTTGCAATTTGGTGTGGAGCTGTACTTAAACAAGATAAAGCACATTAGGGAAGAGATTTCCTAGCAATAGTTTGTGTGTGTATATATATGGCAGGGGGGTTGGACCTAGATGATCTTAAGATCCTTTCCAACCCTAACTATTCTATGATTCTGTATATATGCACACATATATATGTATACGTGCGTGCATTATATATGGATATAAATACAGATGTAAAATATATCTAAATAATATATATCATATATGTATCAGGGACAGAAAAAAACTGTCAATTTTACCATAAATTTTTAAAGATTTCAAATAACATTTCTATTGCAAACCATGCTTTTTGTCTGGACTCAGAATTTATGTTCTAGCTTCCACTGTTCCTGTCAGTTCTTCATTAAAATTTTGAGGAGTTCAGATAACTATAGTAAAAAAGTTGTACTTTCAGTTCTTTCCTGTCTGATGAGTGAAGTCTTAAGAAAGATCTGATAGTTAGGGTTGGAAAGGACCTTAAGATCATCTAGTTCCAAGCCCCCTGCCATGGGCAGGGACACCTCACACTAAACCATGTCACCCAAGACTCCAACCTGGCCTTGAGCACCACTAGGGATGGAGCATTTAGAATTTCCCTGGGCAACCTATTCCAGTGCCTCACCACCCTAACAGTAAAGAACTTCCTCCTTATATCCAATCTAAACTTCCCCTGTTTAAGTTTTAACCTGTTACCCCTTGTCCTATCACTACAATCCCTAACTAAGAGTCCATCCCCATCACCCTTGTAGGCCCCCCTCAGATACTGGAAGGCTGCTATGAGGTCTCCACGCAGCCTTCTCTTCTCCAGGCTGAACAGCCCCAACTTTCTCAGCCTGTCTTTATACGGGAGGTGCTCCAGTCCCCTGATCATCCTCATAAGCCCTTCTCTGGACTTGTTCCAACAGCTCCATGTCGTTTTTATGTTGAGGACACCAGAACTGTGCACAAGTATTAAAAATAACTAATATTTGAGGCTTTTTTTTTTTTTTAGCTTTTTTCTCTACCATATTGTTGGCAATACGGAAGTGTCTTTCTTCGCCTACCCAGGGATTATGCAACTTGACACTGTAGGTTGCACTTCTTATGTTGAAACACACCTTGCACATATGAGCCCTCATTAGACATCCTAAATATGATGTTATTTATTTTGAGCAATGCTATACTGCAGGTGACTGCTCTTTCTAGTGCAAGAAAACATTACAAACTTCATCTTGTATTGAATCTAGTTGAATATGGTAAGTAGATGTTTCAGACTGCTGAGAATTGCCTTGGAAATTTTGTCCTGGAAAGAGAGAAAATGTTAAGAGGAAGAAGTCTGCACGGCAGCCCTGCCATGCAACAGGCCATTAATCTGTTTATATGTTTGTAAAGTAGTACAGTGCCATAGCAGGAAAGCATAATGCAGTTGTATTTCCATGAGTTTGAGGAAACCACATTACTCTTGAATTGCAAAGTCAAGGCAAAGAGAAGCACATTCTTGTTTACTGATGTGAGATGTAAGCTGATATGAGACATTAACTTAAAGCTGAGATAGGCTTTTTTAATACACAGGCCCCAGAAGTTTAAATTGCAGGACATGGAAAGCTAACTAATTGGTCACTTAAATTCCTTTCCTGGCTTAAGTATGTCTTTCTTTTTCATAAGTGACTTTTATTTACCTAGGAGTCAGTTTTATTGACTTCCAGGTCAGTAAGATAGTGTTTCTCTCACCTGAGAAGTGTCTGAAGACCTTCAAAATGCTCAGTTTTAGACTTAAAATCTTGTAAATGTTCTTCAGAATTGTTATTGTAGGTCTAATTTTGAATTATTTTGTGTAGCTGAAAAAATTTTCAAGTAGTTCACCAAAGAGCTTTGTTTCCGTTTTCCTGCTCTGCTGCTTTGCTAACATTTGTACAATAACAGTTGTTTTCTTGCTCTTGCAATGTATTTTCAATGATTGCTGAGAACAGAAGAAAGCCAGGAGCTAGCATCATTGACATTTTGATGAAAGAATAAATTTGCTGATGGCAAAATTTTGATAGATGTGTGTGGAACTGCTCAGTTTGATTGTGCTTATACCTGTTTATGTCCTGGATATGTGAATGTTGAAAAATGTCCATACCCATTGTTTGATTTTGAATTATTAGCCTTTGAACAATTGCATTATTCTTTTGCTTATTTAACATTGCTAACACTGTTTGCCTTTCCTTTTTGCTTAACGTTGCTAATGCTGTTTGCTTTTTCTTTTTATTATTATAAGACATTTTCATCAGTTTCATTCCCTGAACTCCCTGAGATGTTTATATAAAAATTACTAGTGAGTTAATCTATGTCTTATTTTTTGGCTTTTTTTTGGCTCCAAAAAATAGTTGAATGTCTGTAGCTGTACTACCTTTTGCCACCTTTTTCTCCCTAAGAACTCTTTACCTTTATTGTTCTGTTTATTGTAAAAATACTGTGGAATCCATCTGCAATATTAACATTGTAGTGTTCATATTGTTATGTCTGCTTGTTCATTAACTTGAAAGTAGTTTGCATTCGTAAGATTTTCAAGAATGCTAGTGGAAAATATGTCCTCTTTCTTTCCTTATAACCCTATAGAACAGATACAGCTCCATATTTCTAAAAAAGTGTCTCAGAAACGTATTTGTCACAGCAGAAAGCTTCTCTGTTGTTTCTAATTACTATGTGTGTATTCGCATTTTAGTGATATTCCACGGATTCCTGAGACTTCTCACCCCCCGTTAGAGTCTAGTGAGTACACACCTCGTTCCTTTCACTAAGCATGGTCTTGTTTCAGCTATGAATTTTCTTAAAGGTGAGCGGTGGGAAACTGCATTGGCTGCAAGGTTTTTGTATGACAAAATTCAATGGGTTTTGCTCTTGTGTATTAAATACAAAACAGTATAGATTTGATTAAAGCTACCCAGACTGCAAACATCAGCAGGACTTTAATGTCATGTTCTATATTTTGTGTTGTTAGTACCATAGTGGTACACATTCTATGACCCAAGCTGGTCATTTACTTGCCGTAACTTGAGAGAAAAAAGGTATAAGGGATTGCCAGAGGTACAAATGGTGTCAGGATTTCACCTCTTGCACCATCCAATGTAAATCCAACATTCTTGTTTCTGTTTTTCTTAACAAGAAGATGTTGCTTAGGTGAACTTCAAAATAAAGGTTTTATTTTTAACTATGCCATTTGAGCAGTGTTGGGTAGAATGTGTGAGTGCAATGGCTCCCAGTCCTTTCTCATCTGAACCTTCTCAGAGATGAAACCAGAAATCTTCCCTGGGACAGGGTCCTGTGGGACCACTGAGTGCTGTTACACCTGTCACAAGCTCATCTCATCAGTGAGGTCTCTGTTTTGCTGCTGGAGAGCTAGTCCATCAGGCACCACAGCATTCTTCATGCCAGATGCACATCCTGCATACCTTCCTGTGCGCCAGTTCCTTGGGAGTTGCAATTTCAGATGCTATGAGGAGTACAATCCATACAACAGATGTGGGTTTATTCATCAAAGACTTTAAATCATAAGATCATAGAATAGTTTGGTTTTGTGGAGGTGATGTATAATTCTCTCAGAGGACACTATTTTATTTAGCACTTGGTATGGTTTGACACTGCTATATGAGGAGAACATTTTGGATATGTTATTTAAATTAAACAAAAAATGCAGGTTTAATCTGGGGTAAGAGTATCCAAACAGTCATCATCTCCATGCTATCAGCATCAGTTTTTAAAATCTTTCTGTATAATAATCCAGTTATACCATGTATAAATACAAACTTTACACAATTCAAAGAAAAGGTAATTCCTAAGTTTTCCAAATTAGCTTCAAAATTTTTAATAGGAAGTTCATGTTTTTCTCATGTGCTTCTAGGTTCAAGTTCTTTTGAATCTCAGAAGATGGAAAGGCCTTCTATTTCTGTTATATCTCCGACCAGCCCTGGAACCCTACGGGATGCACCACAAGTCCTACCAGGGCAGCTTTCTGTGAGCATATTTTATTTTTCCTGAGTTGTTAATGAAAACCTGTGAAGTGCTGGTCCCTCAGTTATCCATATGCCCAAGGTCTGTTGGGAGATCAAAAGAAACATCTGTTTTTAGTAAAGACTTACATCTTTCAAATGTTTTTTACGACCCTTTGTACACACTCACAAGCCATCACTGTAAGCATAGCAAAGGTATAGAACCGTTGTCTTAATACAACAAAGAGCACAGGAATTTACATTGAGAGCATCCCATAAAAGTGCCTTATAACTTGTCATCCTGTACCCTCTGCATTGAAAATGGTGACTCTTCTGTACATGCCCAGTAATCCACAGATAATAAACATAGTTTGACTTTATCTTCTTTATGGGAGCATTTAAAGAGCTGTGTATTTCTTAAGAGTTACACTATTGAGTTTTGCATTTTAATTCAGATACACATTACCTTCTGGAACTGTCTGTAACTCTAATTGAAACTGGGCTTATTAATTATACTGTGTTTAGACATTGTTTTGTATGTTCTCACATTTTTTTATATTGATCATGGTAATTTCTAAGTACAGAGCAGGCTCAATAATTTCGTGGCATTATGATTCTCTTAAGAAATTATTTAGCTGTATATTATAGTTTTCATAAGAATATTTGCAAGGTAACAAATCAGAGTAGATTTCAACTACGTATCGAGTTTAGCTGCAGCCAGAGCTTTCTATGTGAATGCAGCTTTTGACATGAAAAGCTAAGAAACATGCTGGTTTAAATGCACTCACAGATTCAAGATTATGCAGGGAGTACAACAAACAATGTAAGTATAATCAGGCACCACCTTTTTATCCAGCTGTGGTAAATACAAAAGTCTTTGATATATACCGCCCTCTTTTCTAACTTAATAAGGGATTTGAAATAACATATATCTCTTTGTCTCTTGGAGAAAACTGGTTATTTTTACATTGTGGTTAATGTGATGCATTCTGAAAACTCTGTTTTTTCTCCATTTTCAGTAATGTTTTCTGGTAACTTGATTCTTGTAGGTTAAACTGTGGTACGACAAAGTGGGACATCAGTTAATAGTAAATGTTCTGCAAGCAACAGATTTGCCACCAAGAGTAGATGGACGCCCTAGGAATCCCTATGTGAAAATGTATTTTCTTCCAGACAGAAGGTGGTAGTATTTCAGTTTAGAAAATTAAGTTGTAATTTGCTATGTATTGAATCTACTTTTAAATGAATTCTTATGAAGTAAAGATTTCCTTTTTATAATTTGTTATAGTTAGATTAATTATAACAAAAATGGCGCTTGAAGCATTCTAGTCAGTATCAAACTAACTTTGTGGACTTTAGATGAATGCAAGTCATTGTACAGCAAATACTTTTTTAAGTGTTATCAGATCAGAAAGAATGAAAACAGTAAGTGCTAATGAGTAGATGGCATTTTGTGTTTTATCTCTACAAACAATTCACAACAAATATTTATGTTTCAGTGATAAGAGTAAAAGGAGGACCAAAACAGTAAAGAAAAGTCTAGAGCCAAAATGGAACCAAACTTTTCTCTACTCACATGTGCATCGTAGAGATTTTAGAGAACGAATGCTTGAAATAACTGTATGGGATCAGCCAAGAATACAAGAAGAAGAGAGTGAATTTCTTGGAGAGGTGATACATACAATCACATTAGTCCTGAGTTTGTTGTTTGGTTTTGAATACATATGCATATATATTTTAAATATGTGTTTGTGTGTGTGTGCCCTGAAGGTAAAATTAAACCCTGCTAATTTTTCTATTAGATTCTTATAGAGCTGGAGACAGCCCTTTTAGATGATGAACCACATTGGTATAAGCTACAGACACATGATGAATCTTCACTACCTCTGCCTCAGCCATCACCTTTCATGCCAAGAAGACATATTCATGGTGGAGAAAGCACTAGCAAAAAATTACAAAGTAGGTCCAAATTCCATTCATCTCTCTTAAGTTTTAAATTGAAAATGCTTTCCTATGCAAGATAAAAATACTATTTAATCATCTTTAAACATAATGAAAATATGTGGCAGCAAAGGGATGCAAATTTTAACATTATGACATGGCAGCCTTTCACCTGTGATGCATAACTTTCAAGTATGTGAAACCTGCCAGAATTGATTTGGTTTTCACTAGCAAAAGAGAATTTTTCAAATGTTTGCTTCCATCGTTATTGTATACTTTTTTAATAGTTAAAAGTTCTTTATTAAAATAAAAAAAAGTCCTCAAAAACTTCTGAGGCTTAGATATACTTTTCTTCATAAAGCTAGTCTCAACTTCCAATTTTCTTGTTATACAATGAGAAGTGTACTTTTGCAGCAAATAGAAATATGTGTATTTGGGAGGTACAGTTGTTGCAATGAATCTGATTTCAGGTTTGTGTGAGGCGTATTAATATAATGAATGTATTGAAATATTTGAATATTGTAGCTTCTCTGGTCATTTAAAAGGTTTATTTAGAAATGTGTTGGATGTAGGGAAGTATCTCAAAATAATTTTCCAAGCTCTTTTTGTGATTTTTCTTAAACATGAAAGTTACTCATTCCAGCCAATGCATAGAAAATTGATGCACATTCAGGAATGAATTATAAAAATGTGATAATGCTGTAATTGCTACATGAGGATATGTATAGAGAGAGCAAATTAAAGATTAGTTTTCATGAGGCATTTGAACTTTCCTAAAAGCTGGCAGTGCTGTTTTCTCTACCTCTCTCTCACCATCTGCTGCCACCTCTCCTTTCCTGTTCAGCAAGCTGATTCAGCTTGCTCCCTGAAATAGCACAAAAGGTTTGGGGTTTTTTTCTTCTTTCTTAGAGTTAACTTTCTGTAGGTTTGATGAGGTAAAATATCATAGGAGAGGATTACTGTGGACATGAGGGGAAGAGAAGGGAAAAGGAGGTTGCAGCAGCTGTAAGATATTAAATTGGCTCAGCTATCTCGTGAATTGTCTGTCACTGCAATTTAGTTCTCTATTGTTTAGACTTAAAAATCATCTTTTAATTTCATTAGTACATTAAATGAACATATTTTTACATTTTATAACACAACCAGATGTTCAGGTATTTGTTTACCTTACTGTTGTGCAGGATCTCGGCCAATCAGTGATAGTGACATCTCAGATTATGATGTTGATGATGGTATTGGAGTTGTTCCTCCAGGTGCGTGGGTGAACAGCATGGTCCTGCTTTCTTCTTATTATTATTATTTTTTGCTTGTTTGTTTTTATTTCTTTATAACATTTTGGAATATTGAGGATACTTGTTTTGGAGAGTGCATTATGAAAAAAAAGTTCTGATTAATCCATGGTATGTGTCATAAATCATGGCTAATTTAAAGATTCTTCTATCCATTCATTTATACGTTTTTACATATCATTCTTCATACATGAACCACTTGATGGTTCAAATTGTTTGTGCTTAAACCACAATGGTGCGTAATGTTTGAAGCCTTATTAAAAATATAAATTAAATTTTTAAATAATTTTGGAATAAAAATTAAGATTTCAGTGTTTATTGCAAGTTTTGGGTTTTTTTTATTATTTTTTTTTATTTTGCATTTTGCTTGAAACTAACATATAGTGCAGTCTCCCATGGACTTTATTGCGAATGCATGGCTGTAGATTAAGATGCATGGAGCATGGCTATCTTTTCTAGTTTCATAAGCCTTCATGAACTGTCATTACCCTAAATATTCATGAATATATACTTGTATAGACTATCATGGTTTGATTTTCAGTTCAGCATTCCTTACATACTGAAAATCTTGAGGATCATTTTGGGTATCACATTCTATTTGACTTCTATTTGACTGTTGCCGTAAGTCAAATGAGTATGTTTCCCAATTGCCCCAAACTAACTGAAGAGTCACTATGTTATTGCCAGCACTAAATCAGTTTTCCTGATGAAAATCACTAAATCAAATCATGGAGGGATTTAGAAAGCTTTCTATCTTCCTGATCTATGTTTAAAATGATCATAGAATTGTAGAATCATAGAATCATCGATCTGACAATTTAATTACTCATTTTGTAACCATACAAATAAATAATGTATTTTATTAACACAATATCATTTTGATGTTTACTGAGCCAAATTCTCCTTCCATTGATTTTGATTGGGTTCTTTCCTTACTTTAATACACTTACCACCTGAGTAGCTAAGAGGGAAATTTGTTCTGATATGTCTAGTAATGATATTTGCTTTAATGAAGTGATTATTCTTGATGTTTTTGCATCAGGTGAGAGACTGAATATTTATAATAAAAATAAATCATAGGTTCTAAATGTTTTTTCCTGTTTATTATTTTCTTTTTTTTTTTTTGTTGGCAGTGTGGATACTGGCGTATCTCTATAGATTTACTTACACATAAGGTTTCAGTAGGCTGTATTAAGAATCAGGGCTTTTTTTTCAGCTGCCAGTTCTTCAGGACATCCATTTGAAATAATTTTCCATCTGACAGAAAACTTTCAAAATTGTTCAGCTGAAGGCACTGGACTCTATTCACTGGGTCAGCACTTAAGTAACTGATTCTTACGGAAATTTCTTGGGACTGTGCATGCTCAGATGTGGCTTTGAAGAACGCATGAGTCCATACTCTGAATTTCAGAGATCACTGTAGAAAACAGCAATATTTAATCTGTATCAATAGGATTTATATGAGCTGAGAGTCTCTAAACTGATCTCTAAACTCAAAGTGATGGTGAGGACACTTCTCCTGAAGTCTACCTGATCAGAAACAATCTGGCAGCTGACCTGACCAAGCACAAATTTGTCTATTTTGAGTTTAATGGATACATTTGTTTGGCAATCTTAACTGGAGTGCTTGTTTGTGACTCCTGTGTGAAGTGGGTATACAAAGAAGTGTGGGGATTTGTTAGCATATGCAGCCTGAATTCTTTAATGAGAGTTAAACTTGAGGCACAGAGGGGCAAAGAAAATTTCAGTCATCAGCCACAAATGTGTGACAGTCTAGACAGCGTATGGAAATACATTTTGCAGTGAGAGCTGCAGAAGATTGCCAGTCCCACCATCTACTGAATTGCTCAAGAATCTTAGGCACAGATTAACAAATATCCCTGGACACCAAGTTCAGATATGTATTTCTACCCTCCTGTCCAGCCTTCCTTACTTACCACATTGCAAAATCTTCCAAGATTTTGGACTGCTACCTTCATTTGCACTGAAAGAATATTGCAGTATCTTCTCCATCCAACAGTCTCTCTTAAAACTAAGTTGCATGGAAGTTCCTTGTTGTGTTGCAGGGTGTTTACATCTTCTCTTCTCCTGCCCCCCCCAGTACATGGACCTCACCAGAGTGCACTGCAGCTCTTATTTGGTCCAGATTTCCCATACATTCACCTGCATGGTATGTGTGGTAGGGAATTATGAATATCCATATTTACCCACAATGAAGGATGACAAAGCAGACCATTTCGGCATAGTCTCTTTTGGCTTCAACTAGATTAGTCTAGGATTAAGCTATTACTTCTTAACAGAAGTAAGAATCCAATGTTTTTGCAACATGTGACTCTTTGTTTCCCTTTAAAGCCCCTTTTCCTACGCTTAACCACTTACTTGCCATTGCTACCCACTGTGGTGGTTATGTATGATGAATAAGCTCTGTCTTTACTAAAGGTATATATTTACAGTTGTTGTTTTATTCTTTTTTTCTTGAAATATTCAGAAGATGTTATTTTGCCTTCTTAATATCTCAAGATTTTTGCAAAGATTATTGCTCATTTTCCAAAATATAAGCACATAACTTCTTAATGTGGAAGCACAGAAGTTCACTTGATCACCATCATGAGCTAAAAAAAGGAATGATGAAAATATTTTGTCTAATTTAACTAGCATTAAATCCTTAAAACTATAATTTCAAAAGTTCTACCAATTGCTAAGGCAAATGCAGTATTAGCATTTAATAATAACAGAGAAAACTCTGTGCCTAGAGGTTTTGGCAGCTGCAAAGAATCACTGCTTCTCAATGGAAGACTGCTACTTCAGAAATAATGGCACTTTGATAACTTCAAGAATATTTAAAGAAAAGTATTTTTCCCTTGTATTACAAATGTGTCTTATCTTTCATTTAATTGTACTCTCTTCTTTTATTATTAGTATCTTTAGGTGATGTATATATAATTTTTAAAAATCAGCATATAGAACTTTTTGTAAAAGAAGTTTGTATCAACAGCTGAAACTTTAATTTGAAGCTCAGATTTAACAGAATATATTTTTTACTCCTTTTTTTGGTACGCTCACATCTGTTTACATGAAGAAAATATTATTATAAATCTCGTAGCCTCTTCTCATATGGGAGATACTCCGGTCTCTTAATTATCTTTGTGATCCTGAGCTGGACTTGCACCGTTAACTTTATGTACTGTACTGGAGAACCCAGTACTCCAGATGTGGCCTCAACTATGCCAAGTATATAGGGTCAGTAGAGTATCAGTAAAGGATTTAATAAAAACCAAACACATTTTGAGGCCTATCTTTTTAACCAAAACTTCAGTAACTTTCTTAATAAAAAAGAAAAAGATCTGCTGTACAGTTGGCAGTATCCTATAGGGTATTTTTAATGAGCTGCATTGCTCATGCTATACTCTTCATAACAATTTATTATTCTATCATATGTAATCTGTATAAATGGTTGCACCGTACTTAACATTCCTCCTGTAGCAGCAGTGTGACATCAACAGAATGCCTTTTTGTTGTATGTATTGTCTTAAAATAATTAAAAGTTCTGGTGTCAACCATTTTCATCATTCATCCAGCTTCCATTTCATGTCACACCTGACAGTTTCCCATGAGCATCTGAGAATCTTCTGCATAAATGACCATAAGCTTGGTTGCTGCTGTCATGCTGGTCCATGCAAAAAAATTCTCTGCTCAGTCTGGAGAGCATAAAGCCTTTGTATTTGAAGATACAAGGAAATGTTATGGTTGCTGTCACTGTCGTGGTCACTAAGGAAGTATGGATGTTATTTGACCAACTTGACAATATTTGAGCTAATACTTAGAATAAATGTGAATTGTGTTACTCTCTTCTGTAAGCTTTGTGTATACAGAGTGTGACTTTTAAGTTTACAGAGTAATGCTAGGTGTATTTTTTAGGCAGAATAGAGATACTCTGGAAATTTATTTTAAACTGATTTTTTTTTACTATATATATTTTAATTGTATGTATTTCATTACAGTTGCCTAAAACTTGGAAAAGAATTTTAGATTTCTTTTACTTTAGTGTTAAACAAATGTAAGCTAGTGCTCCTTCTGATACAGATGACGGGATTTTATCTAAAACAAGCTTGTTTGGAAAATGAAATACCTTTTAGCACATACAGGTTAGATTTAGTCATTGTGGGAAAGTGGACACATTCAGTTTTTGTCATGTGTAGTCTTTTTAATTCCTCTTACAAAAAAACAGGTGTTTTCTGCAAGGCCTTTCATACATGAGAAGGTGTACATTCGGAAATCCCTTCTTTGAATAAAAGGTTGATAAACCTCAGTAGATAATTTCATGCGTGCCTTCAACTTTTACAGCCCTATTTTGCAATCAGTACTCAGTACAGCTTTGCTATTAAAAATGCTCTTTAAGTGGCAAGCATTTGCCTTTTTTTTAGTTACTAATGAGCTCTTTTATAGCTACAAGTGAGCTCTCTCCAAAGTTTTTTCTCCATGTTCTCTCTAGTTTTCAAACAATAACCCGTACCCCCCCTAAACTTGAATAATGTTACATTTTAAATATGAAATTACATTCATTATTTTTATTTGGCATGTTTAACTCAGTGTTGTTTGAGAACAGACCACACATGCACTCAACGTTATTGTCCCTGATGTTTGTTTCTGAGCTACATGCTATGTTCTTATTAGAAGTGTAATCATCTTTTTGTCAACATTGTCTCCTTCCTATCTGCCTTGCTATCATATCTGTAATGGTAAATATTTAAGACAAGAACTTATAGAAGCCTTTTTTTTTTTTTTTTTTAATTTACTGAAGTTGCTGGAAAGCTGGTGTAAGGCTGAAAGCTACTGTAGGGTACTACAGCATCACGGTACTCTTCCGTTACCTTTGGGTAACTTGGCTAGTTTGTTCAGTACTGTATAAAAGGTGGACACAGTTCTGGAGGCTGTGATATTATAAACTGTATAATCAGGGAAAACAATCTTAAATTTTAAATTCCTTTGATGATAAAATGCTTCATCTGGTAGATCCCTCTTCACATTGTTGCATTACTAAGATGAATCTGTTCTATAGTGGAAGGTATTCTTATTTTAGGATTGCTTATCACTTTTCTAACAAAGTGTTTTTCTCCAGGTTTGATAATGGCAGTGCATTCAGATAAGTTACATGTCCATTAGAATACATTAGTAAACTGATGTATAATTTGGGAAAAAAAGCATGAATACTTAGTTGATGTTTGTGATAAGGGCTCAGGCATGCAGCTAAACAGGTTATTGTCATTGAATACATGACCGAGACTAATATACACTGCCTATCTGGGCCATATTTTGAAGAAGGCCATAACAATTTGGTAGAAGTTCAGATAAGACCTCCTTACAAGAATTATACAAAATATGAAAAATCCAAACTTGAAACTATAAGAAGATTATTTAAAAGTGCAATTTATTTACTTCATCCAAATAACAACTGACTAAATCATAGCCTTTTCCTGATGGAGAGAACATTTCTGATACAGGCTGGCATTTTAGATGAACGAGTTAATGCATTGCAGGAATTTAATGTTAGACATATTCAGAGAAGCAGCAAAATTACTATTTTTGCATCTAAACAACAATTTTTGAAGTCATTAAGGGGTGATTTAAGGGATGACCATTTATGTCGTTAGGGGATTTTCTCTTAAGGGATTCTTGTAATCTAATTTGAATGTGTAGAAGTGAGCAACTCAGTCTGAGCAAATCTCATTATGCTCTTTTGGAAAGACAGCAGGCACTTTTTGAAAGCTGTTCATCTTACTGAGCTTAATTTGCTGCTTTAGGATGGGATTCAAAGTGTGTAACAGTGTGCTACATGGAAAAAGGCATGGTAATAGCAACACTTCAAAATGTACTAATATTCTGCTGATTTTTTATTTTAATCCTATGTAAAGATGAACTATGAGAAATTTTGGAGCTCATTCATAGCATTTTGAAAAAAATATCTGTAGAGTGTGCAACACCCATTATTCTGTGCAATATACTCTAAATGTTCATAATTATTCGAAGTAGGTGGCTTTGGCCAGGTTCAGTAGGAGAATATCTTTGTTTTTAATTGAAAGAAGAGTCAGAAGGATGCTTTATATATGAGCAGTTGTGGATGAGTCTGTGATGTTGAACACAAGCATGCCTTCTCCATTTGTTAGATGAGGTAAACCTACATTGCTTAGATTCCTTTCAATTTTTTTCTATGACAGTTTTGAAATACAAGTTGCTCAGAGTACTCTTCACCAAGTCAGAAAACTATTTCAGTCCTCTCCCTCACATCTTCCAGTACATAATAAAAATCATCTCAGTTTCTCTGTACATGTAGACATTTAAAGGTAATACTAGTAGCTTATTCTGGCTGCATGATACATCAGGGTGTAAAACAGCTAAATAACAACTTAAAAGATGTGTAAGCGTTTAGATGTGCGTTTCTGGAAGGACTAACCATCTGACTTCTTTTCAAACCCAGACTTTTATTTTCTAATTTCCTTTTGTTACCCTCTTACCAGTTGGTTATAGATCTAGTACTAGAGAAAGTAAATCTACAACACTAACTGTGCCAGAACAGCAAAGAACAACACATCATCGTTCACGATCTGTATCTCCTCACCGTGGTGACGATCAGGGCAGGACCCGTTCACGTTTACCAAATGTGCCATTACAGAGGTAGGCATCACAAGTTAATGAAATATTGGGTGGTTTCAAGTTTGTGTAATTTGTCTTTATTAACTTTTCTCTTGCTCAGCAATTTTTCACAATTTTGAAACTTTTTTCTAACTCAGTAGTGTAGTATTTTAACTTGAGGTATGCTTTTATTAATCACTTGAGAGCACTCATGGGATGAATCATATTACCTCTTCTTACTGGTATTTTCTCTGTAATTCATCATCTGTGTACCATAACTAATACATAGGTTTGGAAATGCTTTTTCAGTCAGTGGCTGAGTCTTGTATGAAGCTGCTGAAGTATATTTGTAGGCTAATAAATTGCGACATGTACAAATTTTATAGTAAGTGTGAGCTGAACTGATTTTGAAGTAACAGCAAGCTGAAATTACCAGTTGTATTTATAATATGACATTCATTAATGGAAGAAGCTAAATACCGCATCAGATAGTGATTGATAAATTGTCATTTGCTGCTTTTGCTAGACAACCTATTAGTAAGAGGATCCTTTTTGAGCTTTCTGTTTGGATGCTTTTTGCTTTCTTTGAAAGTTTGTACAGGCTGTTTAAGCAGAAAACTTGACATAATTGATTTTGCTTTTTATTGTGCAGGGCAATAGGCTTCCCTTGCAATCTCTCATGGAACCCTAAAAATCAGTCAGTTTTTACCAGCTTCCCTTTCTCCAATTTCTAGGAAGCTTTGTTCTTGAATTACTCAAAAGCTTGAAGTGTTGCACTAGCAACATTACTGCCCACTAGCTGTGGTCATTTAAAAATAATTTGAAAGTCTATCCTTCTAGTTGAATTTTGTATTCAAAATTCTGTGCTACAGTCCTGTGCTTATCCATCGTTTCTGTGTCTGGTGGGGTGTTTCTTGGAGTTCCATCACTGATCATTTTATACCAGACATCTGTGATGTTTCAAAATAATGGTGTATTGTGGAAAACCGGCTTCTCTTCCCAGTTGAAAATCCTGATGATCTTGCTTTTTTTCTTTTCCATCCTCCATACCATATATACTGCTCTTTTGAACTGAAATTCTGTGGGCTTCATAAGTCCTTGCATGCATCCCCCTCTTCTACCTCAGTTTTTGTGGATAAAGCTATTTCACTACCCATCAAATCACTTGCTGTTGTATTTCTCAGAATGCATCCTTAAGAAATAGAAAAGTTTGGCTGTACATAAAACAGACTGTGGCACTGACTTTTTTTTTTAATAGTAGAGAGAATGAGAACTCCTCATTCTGCTTTTGCAAACAATTGTGTTTTTTTTTTTGTATCTTTCTATCTATGAGCATGATGCACAAATGAAATATTTTGTAGTCAATTCCACCCATCCTTTAATTTTATACTTTGAAAACTAATGCTTCTCATTCCAATGGCAGTTATCAAACCAAAGGAAGAATCTGCCCTTCAAGCAGTAGTTTCTTTTCTTGTTCTTTTCCATGTGAATAGACCTTTAAATTACTATTATGGAGGTCAGAGCGTACCTGCATTTATACAAAACCCCTTTTGTATAACTGTTTGAAATTGATAAAATCTACTGCACGTTGCCATATCCTCTCCCAGAATTTCTTAAAGAGTGCTTGGAGATACCTGCAAAAAGTTGTCAGCCCTTTCAAAATCTGTAAATTTCAAAATTTACAAATATGTAAAACTTAATTTCATGTGAAATATTATCCATTTGTTTGTTATTTCAGTTTTTCTTTAACTGCAGACTTTGAAAGTGCCATTACTACATCTGTCAGTGTACACAGAAACACGCACATACTTCTAAATATGGTATAAATGGCTGCTTTTCTATGCTTGGAGGTGGGTTTTTCTTAATTTTAGGGTGCAGTATTTTTTTAGAAGACATGTATTAACAATTTAATGATTAAAAACTTCCTTCAACCAACTTGTGCTATCATGCACTGAGCAGTGTTATTTATGGAAAAAAAACAAAACAAAACCCAAGATTTTCATACATGTTTTTACCTTCCAGGAGTTTAGATGAAATTCATCAAATGAGAAGATCACGTTCTCCAACTAGACACCATGATGCCTCCAGAACTCCAGCTGATTACAGATCCAGAGACATGGATAGTCAGTATTTGTCTGATCAAGAAAGGTATATTGTCAGCCTGAACCTCGATAAAAGTTTAAAAGTGTGTTTGTTTGTTTTCCTAATTTTCAAGTGTTCAGTAGAAGCATGACTGATAGTAGTGGGGAAGGGAGATAACTCAAAATAACTGACACATCTAGTGGTTTTTTCTGGTTAAACTCTGCACTGCATTGACAGTAATAGCAGCTATCTAGACTAGCAGTTCTTGGGGTTTTGTCCTAGAGTATTCTGATGTTTGTTTCATGCATGAAGCACAGAGATCTTTACTAGAAAACTATAAATTTACATGTATGCATGTATTTCTGTAACTCAGAATTTATCTATTTCAGTAGCCAGTAAATTACTAGACATATGTTCCTACTGTTTGGGAGTTGCATATGCTATGATTTACATTCCTATGCTTATAGATTTTGGATATGTATATATGCAGTCTCAGGTCTTCTTACGTAACATTCTGGTGAACTTGGTACAATATCCAAGTATAGCAAGGATAGTGAAAATCTCCAATCCTAGGTGCATGACACATACACATGTCTCCCTGAAATACATGCAGTGTCTACACTCTTCAGGGAACACTTGGTCTCTCCTAGTAGGCATTGTTTTCAGATATATAGGAATTTATTAAAAAAACATGGAAGAGAATGAGAATTTCTGTTTAGTTTATAGCTGAAAGAAGTTTGAAAAGGCATTTTAGTTCAGTGTTTGGGAAACATAATGATGACAGTCACATAGATTAACCATGTTTGCAGGGTGTTTGTTTACTTAAAAATGAACTTGCCTGTTTTGCTTTTTTAATGTGATAACATACATGTAGAAACTAATGAGCCATTTGGAACATTTTTACATTCAACTTTATAGGCAAGAAGTATGTACAGAATTGTCTAAACTGTGTTGTTACACTGAATTTCCTCTCGGAGGCAAATTGAAATGCTTTTTAGATGTAGTAGTCAGTTTTATAGTCAGGCTAATTCAAGTAATTTCCACTTGTTGCAAATGTTTCATGTTATCTATTGTAAGTAGTGATATATTCAACAGATTCCTGTGAAGCCTCAAATCATGGGGTAAATCATTATATGTGCATGGATTATGCTTGGAGAGTGAGGCTTGCATTGAGGCTTTCTTAGAGATGAGCCTTCAGACCAGAGCCACAGCAGTAATGTGCTGCTGGGTTTGTTTAGAGGAATCAGTCTTCAGTTCTTTTCAGCATTCAGAAAACGCTTTTTCACAAGTTTAAAGATCAGACATTATTTGCAGGGTTTATAGATGGGTCCATGTATTTACTTTCCTCGAGTAATAATCTTATCTGCAGTGGTCTCTTTTTCCCTGTTTTCCTTTTCACCTTTCCCCAGATTTCTTCATTTGTTTAACTCTCGCAGGCTTCACTGTCTTTCACTACATAAGTGCAGCAGCATGGGGAAGATCAAACCAGCTTTTGTTGAGGAAGATTATCACATCCAAAGATTAAAAAAAAAATTATTCAGTGTTATGTATCACTGTCAATGGAAGTACAAGTATTACATGTTGTTCATTTACTGAGACCTTCATCTAAACAAATTCATGAATGTAGATACCTAACATAAACTTGGCTAGAAAGATAATTACCCAACAATTACGTGGCAGAAATTACAGTTACTCATTACTTTTGATCATTTGCTCAACGATCTGCTATTGGTCCCAAATTAATATTGGATATTCTGAATAGATCCTCATAAAAATAGTTATTATAGTCTCAAACTAAAGTATGTAGTATGATAAATTTCCAGTGAAACTAATTCATCCACCTTTTTCATGTGTATTTATATATGTATATATACGCATGTATGTATATATATAATTCTGTTATAAAAAGCTCTTTATTAGGAAATCTATCTAAGCAGTATACTTCACTCTGAATGTAGGATCATCATCCAATTTTCAAAGACATGGCCTTTTTCATTTTTTTTATTTTCTTTTATTCTGAAATAAAACCTGTTAATATGACTACTAAAACACTCACATTAGAAAACATTTGTTTTAGAATAATAGCTTTGGTATTAATGTCTCCAAACCAGACTTAAATTACCAGAAAATTGTGAATATCATCTTATATTGTTGTTTATCTACTGTGATGGATTATTTTGCTTTGGTTTTGCCTGTAAGATTTCGCGGTGGATTTGCTATTTTATATCCATTTTCTGAATGAATTCTATATTACTTTTGCCATGGGCCAATTATAATAGATATTCTTTGGCTTAGCAAAGGTAGAGTAAATATTAACAAAGTAGCCTATGATTTAGTGTGGAATTCTCATCTACTTCACAATTCTTAAGAAAATGGTAACTTTTTTTCCTAAAATGCATGTTTATTTGTAATTTGGAAACTTGAATATTAGTATAAATTCTGTCAGTCCTCTGAGCTTATGAATGGGAATTTTCTTAGGAAAAGAAAAAAAAGAAGAAAGTTCAACTTAATACATTTTGTTGCATCAAAATCAGGCTAGTGGCTCCAGATGCAAAGTTAAATCTCGCATGGGACTCACAAGCCCAGTTTTGGCTGCCCAGTATTTCAAGCTGCCCAGTTTTGAATTTTAGAGAAATATTACTTATACTGCATCAATTAAATGGGTCATTTTACAATTACATGAAGCACAAAACACCTTGAACAACTGCTGCTTTATATATTTTGTAATCTTTTCTCTCTTTGTCACCATAGTACTTCATATGATTCCCTGCTTCTTTTAAAATAGCATGTTTCCATGAAGTTTAGCTTTGATTTCTTCTTTATGATGATTAGGAGGTTTGGAGCTTGGTCTTCCTGAATGTGTTAAAATGTGTAAAACTAGAGGATTCATTCAAGGGATATTTCATATCATAGTCATATTTACCATAGGCATAAATACGTATTAATTTTGCCATCTTGCTGACAGTAGTATGTGTTGGTTACAGTAAATGAAAAATAGAATAGATGATTGATTTTCCCAGTTGGAAAAAATAAGAAACAAAAACTGACAGCTGATAAGCATCTTTTTTTTTTGTCTCTTTAGGATTTCATTACAAAATACTGTCAAGAGCTATGAGTCAGAACTTATATTTGGCCAAATTTAATTTTTCTAATGAATGTATATTTTTGCTTTTCCCAAAAGGGTTACTGGTTGTCTTCCCATAAACCAATCTTCAGCAAGTTCACTAAGCCCTTCCTGCTTTTTCATGTGTGTTGTTGTGGCTGAGGAAGAAAAATAAGCACACACAAAAACCCAAACCGCCCAAAAACCAAAACCAAACAGCAGCCTAATTCTTTTTTAATAAAGTATTTCTTTATTAATTAGTTGATAATAAAGGAGGTTATTGGAGAAATGTAGTTGTTTTATGGACTACTCTTGTCACGAAGAGCTCTGAAAAGGTACTTCTGAATTTTAGAAGGAGAAATCCCACAAAATTAGGGGCCATGCTAAAAGGAATTTATTGAAAACGTAGTTATTACAGGCATTTTTCATTCATACTCTTTGAGAAGTGCACCTGGGTTTGAACATTATCGGACTATCTATCTGGTTGGAAGCTTCTTGTTTCCTTTTTATGTTTTCATTTGCGCATCATTGGCATAACCCATGTCATCTAATGCTTCATAATTATATCTGTTTCACTCACCACCCATCCTGTCTGTGCAGTGAGCTTCTTATGCTGCCCAGAGCAAAACGAGGAAGAAGTGCAGAGTGCCTACATACCATCAGGTAAATACAGGAATTTGGTAATCATGAACACATCTGGTTAGTTGTCTGTGTGTGCCCAGCTTATTTTCTGTGGTGGTATTTAGTCTCAGTAAGAAAAGAACTTCTAGTACATTGTGATTCTGGTGTCAGTTGTTCTTTTCTGTTTGTTTTAATTCAGATTGAGATGTGTATATATGTTTGTGAACTTCAGTAGAAAGGATTAAAGCAATTGAAGAAATTCCGATTTTGGAGTTGTATTTTGTGGTAGATTTTCTGTCTAGTCACAGAAGTCCTGATCTCCCTTTGCATGACAGCATTATAATTTCAAACACTTCTTTTTAGTTGTTTTTATGTTTTCTCTTATTTGCATTTTTATGTTTATATTACAGCCACGCACAAGCCAAAAATCTTTACTTGTTGCAACTAATCTCACGCTGATTTCCGTCACTTGTAGAGGAAAAAGCGCTAATTAATGAGGCTTTAATGGGAACTCCAGATTTGAGGGGTCTTGTATTACTTGGGTTTGCTTCTACAAATTGTGATATAAATTAGATCCAGCCATAAACTTTGTAGTTTGGACTCATGTACAGTCATCAGTAATCTCTTGGTGAAGAGTTTGGATCTCCCTGTCTCAACTCATGTGAAACTAAACAGGACTGAAATATCTTTATCTAACAAATCTTCCTCCACCCCCATGTCTTTTTTTTTTCCCATGTCTGTCAACCTTGTTAAAAATACATATCAGATTGTGTAGAAAATCTTCCATTTAGAATCAGTAAAAATGTAGGTTGTAGTTGAAGTAGTCAACCACTGAACTGCTTCAACCAAGTAGTTAACCATTTTTTTGTTCGGGACCTGGATGTTGCTAAGAGCTTTGTGTCAGTGCTGTGTGTTTAAAACTGTCAGACTTTTAAAACCATGTTGTCTAATGTACATACTCATCTATTTGGCACAGCATTTCCCCTGCAGAGGAGTTCTTTTAAATATGCCTTGGGTTGATATAATTCTGTTAATTGCATTTGAAACAGCATCAAAGGCAGTGTGATAGAGTTCTGTTATAACGCACAGTAGTATATAGGTAAAATAGTAATTACAAAAACTTCCCAAAAAATCTGTGCATCAGTGGAGCTGTTAAATTAAAATTTAAGTTTTTATTATCGGAAGAAAAGGTTTCATTCTCATACTTCAGGTAAAAAAGCTTTTCCCCCAATATTATAGGTTTTAAAAGTTAATAATTTCACACCCTGCTATTTTATGTCTGGTTATTGTCATAAAATAGCAATTTTTCCTGCCTCCTTCCTTTTCTTCTCCTGGCTTTTCCTGCCTCCTCCTGCCTTTTTCTTTCTGCTGCATCTTCTATAGCTTCACCCCCCCTCCCTGGCTCCAGCTCTTTGCTTTTTTCTTTCCTCTTAAAGATTATAATTTTCATTAGAATTCTTCAATATAAATTCTTAAATTCACACTTTATTCACCTAACACAGTAAATACTGTGTTATGAACTTTTGATGCACTTTGCCCAGCCACTATAGATTTCCAGTAGTTTTAGAAGTCTTCTACCAGCCTGGCTAGTTAACCAGTTACCTTACTCTACTTATTGCTGTTGTTTATGATCAAGAACAGTAACAAATTAACCCCTTTAACAAAAATTATATACTATAAAAGAGCATGGTATCTTTAATAATGTACTGAAGGTGAATATAAGGACAATAGTAGACAATGATTAGATATTTAAATTTAGCTCTCAGGCTTATGAACCCTGATACAAGTTTGAATAATACGAGGAAAATTGCCAGTATCCATCCTTGACTGAATAGTCACATAAGCCCTTTTAAAAAAAAATATGTGTGTATTGGTTGTCAGCTTTTTTTCCTTTCTCATTTGTAGAGGCTTAAAATTTTTCACATTAGAGACATAAGGCTTTATCCTTGTTTCTAGACAGATTACTAAATGACTAAATAACTATTGAGACAGCTTCAGTTTAAAATGGGAAGGAAATGTTAAGGGTTTCATGTTAAATGAAAGCCATATTAGTATGAGATTGTGCAAGTTACAAAGTTAAGGTACATGGTTAGTTTAATACAACAGTTTAGTATAGTATTAGTCCTAGCTGTCTATCCTGTCCATCTGTATGCAATTATTGACTAACAGTAGAAATGGTGGAAGGACGTGTACCTATGCCATAAACCACGGGTTGTAGCATTCCATGTCTTAGGCCAAACCCACTTTGATTGGTAATACCTGCTAGTATGCCATTCCTTTATTCCAACTTTGCAACATCACCGTAACCTCTTTTAGAGATGGCAGCAGTGATGACTGCTAAACCTGTACAAGAGTCAAAGCTCCTCTGTTAAATCTGTCAGGGGTTTTACAAGCAGCAGGGTTTCCAGACAAAGAGTTGTTTCATCTGTCTATGACACGTCAGGTTTGTACTGTGTGTCTGCGATGCCTAGGTGCAAGCCTAACAGGAACTGGAATGTCCTATTAGGACAGCCTGTTCTTGAAGCTTTGAAATCCTCAAGGCTGCTGCCCCTTCTGCTAATAGCACCGCAGCTAATAAAATAAGCTATTGCTTATTTTAACCTTTCAGTATTAAATGGCCATGATTCCCATTCAGCAGCCTCTGTCTGCCTTGAATTTCCCCCGTGTTCTTTGGGTAGAGCTCAATAAGGCAAACATTTCCTGTTCTAAAATCTCATGTACTGTAAGTGGTAATACTGGACAGTTGTCATGTAACACCTCAGAGTGCTGCTGTGCTGGCTCATGTAGTAGATCTCCTATGATTCTTAATTAGCTTATTATTAATAGCATTTAATTACTGCTAGATTTTGGAGCTTATATACCATTTCCAAAATATTTCCACATTCAAAAATGCCAGATATTAATACAACTACAATTAAGTTTGTGATACTATATATATCACCCTTTTAGCAAGATTTTAATGCTTAGCTACTGAAGAGGTTAAAATCTCTTAAGGTCTTAGTAAGAAAAATAAAGAGTAAGTTGATTATCAACCTAGTCCTTTACAGCAGCTTGTATATTTTAATTAAAAATCTCTAGAAATGGAATTTAGGTTACTTTCATTACAAGGAAGACATCTGAGTTGTGCTAGTATTGTCATGACTTCACCGGCTATATTAACAAAAGAGTAAATAAAAAATTTGTTCCCTGGATAGCTGTCACAATAGTGAAGAAAAACATATGTTTGAAATCTACTCATACATTAAACATAGTAGGACATTATGCATTTATTTTATGTTCTGGTCAGTCTTGGATTACCATCACCTGTCTTTTTATTTCTGGCATGTTTTTATGTTGTTCTGTTTCCTTTTCTTTTCTACCGCATTCAAGAAATTATGCTAGGCACTATAAAACATTGCCACCCAAGATGCCTTTACTAGAAAATGGTACTCATTGGAACCTATACAGGTAAGAAGTGTTTAGAGTCCCCTTTCAGTGGTTAGTCCCTTAAAAAGAAAAATTAAAAAAAAAAAATGTTTTCCCTTCTTAAATAGAAAAATAGAAATATTTCATACATCTCTATAGCTGGGTAAGGGATATAATTCTAATAACTTCATATAACTGTTTAAATTAACCCCTACATTATAAATAAAACCCAATCCAAACCACTTTGTATTAGGTAGAGTTGTCTTCACTGTTAAAATTATATGTTGCATGTTTTTGCTACATTATTTTGTTTATGTATAAGATTTTATTTACATGTCAAATTTGTTTTCATTTTGTTCAAATAACTTTAATTTACAAAGCTCAACTCTTCCTGCATGTGCTAAGACCAAATCCGTGATTAGACAGGATATTTCACTCCTTCGTGATTGCCTTAATTCACGAATACTGAAATTTGGAGATGATCTGCTGGTTAGGTAAGAAACTGAGGATTGATGCCCCTTCCTGTTTGGTATCTAATATAAATTTGCAGAATAAATGAGCTTCACTGAAAAGCAATTTCACATAATATATAGTGTATCACATCCTTTTGTGTTGGCTTAATGTTTACTGCTGTTAATAAGGATTTATATTTATTGTTTGATAATTCTCATTCCACTTTCTTACAAGTGGATGTTGTTCTGTCTCATTCAGTTTTAAACATTTCAACATTCTTGACAAAAGATTTCTAGCAGTCTTTTGTTTGCTTTTATTTTCTAAACAAAACTTGGCACTGTCATCCAGTCAGCTCTTTTATGTTTTCCTTAATTAAATCATTATGATTCTACATTTTCTGTAAAGGTAGCATTATTTTATGAGTTAATATCTAACATTGTATTCCTTTCTTTGTTTTCTTTTTCTTTCTCTTCTACCATTGGATGCAATGCACTGGCACTAGTGAACTACAGCCCTCCCTTGACAGGGCTAGGAGTGCTAGTACCAACTGCTTGAGACCAGATACTAGTTTGCATTCACCAGAACGAGAAAGGTATAAAATAAAAACTTATGAATTTATTGTCATCTGTGCTGGTGATTTTTATCAGTTTTGTTTTCCTTCATATAAGTACTCCACGTTCTTGTACATTCATGTCTGTTTTGGTATTTGTGGGCATTTTTTCTCCTGTATTCATGTATGTCATGTAAGCTGTGTGTTGGAGTTTATAAATGCTTCTGGCTTCTTTCCTTGTTTTAGTTCAAGCTGATGTCACTGTTTACAAAAGTCCTCAGTATGCTGATAATAGCATTGCAGTGTTAAGTATTTTGCCAAACTACTACTTGGCTGTTGATCATCATCATTTGCTAAAAAGTATTGTTTGTTTCTTGCCTGTTCCATGGAATGCTAATAAGGCAGTGACATAATTCATAAATTATGACAAAATTCTCATCTTTCAAACCGGAACCGTAGTTTGCATAGTCATCTAATGTCTACAAAACAGCCAAACTTCATTGTGTTCTCAATCTAATCTGCTGCATCTGCTTTTGCAGTTACAAGGCATTTCACTGCATTAAGCTTTTTCACTCTGTGACATTATGTTAAGGCTCACCTAAGTCGTAAGAAGATAGGTTTCCAATTTGAATGAAGTGTTGTTGTGTTACATACATCATGCAGGCATTTTATGTTTGCTCTCTGAATTTTTAATATCACAATATGTTGGTTCAAATACACCAAGTACTACTGGTGTATTTGGTGTATTTGGATTGTTCCACAACAGAATTTTTCATTACCATCCGATGAGTTTTTGGCTTAGAACTACACTATTTTAGAGTGAAATTTTTAGCTTCACTAAAGGCAATTATAGGCTGCCATTGAGTGGGAATATGGTGGAATTACAATAGCATCTATGAAATGCATATTTAACTACAACAGCAAAGTTGTTTTTTCAGTCAACCCAGTCTTAAAACAATTGCGTCATTTTCATTATGAGAGGACCAATGAAGAAAGGCAATCAGACCATACTTTACCCTTTGAGATGAGGTTTTTTCTAAGATTCTTCTGAAATTTCCCTTTTTCCCTTTCCCTCCCCCCCATTTCCCACTGATCCTTGATTGGAACTTTACTTTGCTCAAATTGTGTCCTTGTTGCAGAGGAGTGACTAGTGTTCTGCTAAGAGATCTCAGATGGATCGATGCTTTTAAAAACTGAGTGAAGATAGCACAGATAATATATATAAAAAAGGGTATGATAGAAATAAGGCCACAATAAAATGCATATCGTTCTAGAGTAGAAAGTAAAAAGAAAGAAAGATGAAAGTAGCATCGTATTAATTATAGAATCACAGAATCGTAGAACAGTTTGGTTTGAAAGGCACCTTAAATATCATCCAGTTCCAACCCCCAGCCACAGGCAGGTATACCTTCCACTAGATTATGTTGCTCCAAGCCCTGTGCCACCTGAACTTGACCACTTCCAGGGATGTGGCATAATAACTAAGTGTACAGATATATACAGCTGTGTTCATCGATAAGCAGCTATCTAATATAATAATGTAGGGGCATGAACAGTATGTTTTGTACTTTTACTTCAAGATGCAACCCATCAAATTGAGTGTTCAATGAAGCAGTACCGGCAATTGTAAAAAATCTAGTTAAAATATGATAAACAAAACCACACCTGTCACTGGTGTTATCTAGTTCTATTATGTCTTTACAATTCATGTACAGCAACCTCTGTCCAATAAATATTACACAGAATCTGCAGCATTTTTCATGAGCTCCTCGTAAAGAAAATGTTTAGTCTGTGTATATGGCCTCTGCGGCTACTAAAGGTGGTTTTGCCAGTAGTCTGTGGGCTTGATCCATAAAAATTGTTCATCACTATGAAACTTTGACTTCTTTGCTTTTTGAACTCCTAAATAGGTGCTTTTCTCTTGGGATCCTTCATGGGGGTGCAGAAAAGCTCTTTGGGAGAAATTAATATTCAAGTTCTCCATGATGGTTTTGTTGACAGCAGTAAGATCTGTGGGGTTCTGGCAGAGAATTTAGGACATACATACCTCTTTTATTTCTGGTATAGATTTTGTTTTTCCAATACAGCCCAATTTTTGAAGGAAGATGTTATATGTAATGTATAAAACACAGTAAGTTAATTTTTTTTTTTTTCGGAGAAGCTAATTTTAGAAGATTTAATTCTCTGCTGTTGAGCATATCTGCTTACACTTTAACATGAGGTTAGTGGTCAGTTGCCTGTATTGATAGAGGAATCATAGTTTGAAGAATGAAGAATTAAGTTAAAGGTATGTAGAAAGCACTTTGCTTCTGTGCTGGACAACATGAGAAGAGGGGACTTAAAATGCAGTAAGACAGGTTCATCTTAAATGGTAGGAAAGTTTTTTTTGAAAGCAAGTATAATGGAACACTGTAATATAAAATCCAAAAAAGGTTGTCTTGACTACACTACTGGGAATTATAAAGATATTAAGTAAACATCCATCAGATGTAGAGTTGGTCCTGCTTATAGCAGAAAAACATGGTGTGGTTTCTCAGCCATGGAAAATTATTTCTACTTATTCCCCCCGATGTTTTGTATCAGAGAGTATGAATTAGATTGTATTTGAGATCAAAAGTTAAAATGGTCTACTTGAGGTTTTTTGTTTTTTGTTTTTTTTTTAACAAAATAGTATGGCTGTGTGTAACTGATGGACAGTAGAGCTGTATTTCTCTGTGTCAGTGATTTGTTGGAAATGGTTTCAATCCTTAAACTCTATACAACATCATGTCATGTCATTTAAAATGGTCATAGTAGTTACTGGTTTTTAAGATGCTGCTTTGACAGTAAAAGTCACGTTGGCCCATATATACCAGCAAAAAAATGACTTTCAGTGGTATATATGAATGTGGTATACATGTCTTGTTAGTTGCACTAAAACAAATATGAAACAATAATAACAAAAAAGACATTCCTTTTCTTCTGCTATAAGCTTCATCATTTGAGCAAGAAAAGTTCCATATAACTTGACTGGCAAACTGACCTTGCCCTGGCACAGGCCTTCTAAAGATTTTTTTGGTAAATGGAATAGTTTGGTACAGAACTTAATCCTTCATATATTTCTCTATGGCACACTAGGATACTCAGAAACATCCAGCCCCTACTAATACGTCTGTACATTTGCCCCTTGCCTGCCTCATCCTCCTGACACCCATTTATTCCAAACTGTTGTTTTCAAAATGTGTGTGGCATTGAAGGTCCTTTGGTGATCTGCAAGGCATATGTTAGCTTATAACATAGTCATAAATGTCCTCTAATGCCATTGAAAATGTTTTTGCAGCTACTACTTCCTTTTGTATGATTTTATTTTTAGTTGTCCTTTTCACTCTGTTGGCTTTTTTTTTCCCCCTTGTAATTTGGGTTCCATTTCTTTAAGAGAGAAATTTGTTTGCAATACCCAGCCTTCAGTCAGGAAAGCAAGAAGGCATGAGATTCAAGTGCAATATCTGAACTGATTCAGCAGTAGTTTCTCAGCATAACAGCATCTTCCCCAGACTGATTTAAGATTGCAACCAGTGGTAGTTACTTAATAATATATTATGTGGCTTTTATCTTCCTTCTAAGTTTATGTTCCAAACAATTATTGTGTGTATTATAAGTTAGCACAAGAGCAGTTGTATAGGTTGGTACTGCTTGTATACTTTGGTCCTGAGAGGTTGGTTAATAGAGATCTGAGCAAATCCTACAGCCTAGGGATTAGTACATGTACAACAGGGTCAGCATATCTGACATATACAACCCTGCGGCTGTGTTTGGTCTGCGGTGCTTCACTGCACTAGGCAGCAAAACATTTTGAAGATCTTCAGGATGATCGCTATCAGCTGGTCATTACCACCTAAACAAGGTACAAAGATGAACAGTTATCTGCTACTTACTCATAAATAGATAACAGAGAAGTTGGAGCAGTCACTTGATCCAGTTAAGACCTATCCTGATTTCAGGTTGATTTTCCTAAGCTTTTTTAGTAAGTCTGAAGTACTAGGTTTTTCTATTGCATGCCATTAACAGTTGTGTTGAATATCACTTTTTACATTTAAAATAATGTACAGTATAAAATAACTGTTTGTATTAGTATGCAATGTGTTTCCAGTTCTTTCAATAGGTTATTCCATGTTTGTCTGCGTTGTACTATGGCTCATGGTCATTCAGCATTCAATGGAAGAGAGCATGTTCTTGAAGTTCATACTGCATGACCTACTTAATTCTGTCAAATGACGTTCAATATTTGTAGGGGATATCAGCATATTAAGGGCTTTGACTGAGTGCATTGATGCATTAACATTTTCTTTATCTCTTGCTTTGGAGAGAAAAAAAAACAAAACTACTAACTTATTTGCTCTTGGAACTTTTGAAAGATCTGCCTTACTGCTCAAGTGGTGCTAACCTTGAAACCTTTGTTATTTGCATGTTCCATAAATCAAACCCTTTTCCTTATTACATGGACTGGAAGAATGCCTCAGAAAGTGAAATACTGGATAGTCATGCAAAGTTTATGTAAACATTTTGCTATTCATAAATTAATCAGTATATATTGATTTTTTAAGTTGTTGTACGTATACTTGTACTATTACAACTACATAACACCCCAACAAAATAGGCAACACTATAGGTATAGCATATATCATTCTAAATTAAATGAGCTTTTTCAATAAAAAGAAATCATGTAAGACACCAATTTTCATTCACAGTTAGGTCTTTTTTGTTCAATTTAATTATAGTAATCTGCTGACATGTACTGCAGTGATACAGAGAAATGAACAGAAGAGGAAGCTCATTACATACACTTTCAATATATACTTTTAAACTGAAAAAAATAAATTACCTTAGTACTTCTCCACAAATGTGTGTAGTCTGGTTGTAGCTGATTAGTTTACCTGTACTCTCATTGCATTCCAGAAAAGGGTCACTTTGTGCCTCAGAATTTTTCTCATAGTTCATGGACCTACATTTTTACTGAGAATGCATTTTTCAGTGCAGAGGGCTAGGAGACACAGGCTTAATAAAATACCAGCCAGTACCTGAGGGAGAATGACTAGCATATGGTCTTTGAAAAGCTTTTCTGGTTTGGAATTACAGTTTTCTGTTTGAATGACAGGCTTTTACATATTCTAGCATTTGAGAACATTTGAAAACTTAATGGCACACTCTATAAAAGGTTTTATCAATCTAAATTCTGCACCTTTGGGCATTCATTCTCTGTTTCAGTTGTAATGTTTCTGCAGTAAGCAGCCATAAGTATCCCCCATACTTGGGGATTAGAAAACTGCTAGGAAAAAAATAATTAAATAACACACTTTCATTACTTTTTGGGCTATTTTTCCAGTCCCAAATCTCATTTATTTAATTTTATCACAAACTAAATATCCTATTTTTTTCCTGTTTTATTGAACGGGCAAACAGGGGTAGATGGTCCCCCTCCCTAGAGAGGAGACGACCTACTAGTCCCAGGATTCATATCCAGCATGCATCTCCGGAGGATGACAGGTACCAGTCAACTCCTCCCAGTTGAAAAATGATTTACTGCATCTTGCACTCGCAGAAGAGTATACTGAAATTTGAAAGTATGCATATAAGTAGAGAGAGACTTGCAAGCTCCAGAAGCCCAAAATAAAACAGCAGCTTAGATATCATCTCTGCATTTTGTTAAACTGTTATAAAGCACCTGGGAATTACTGTCTTTCCGAGTTTTCTGTTTGCCTGAATGGTCACAAGCCATGAAATAAGGTGTCTAATACAAGAGAACATCATCCGTGTTAATGTTCTTTAGTCTGCTTCTGTAAATGTTGGTGGTGGTCTCACTGTGGTGCTTTATAATACGTTCAATATTTGTTGTAGAGCCTATTCTTGTCTAGGTGTTTAATTTGATTTTTATTGGTTTATTTTCCTTTTTTTAATAAACTGTTCCTATGGGGGAAAACACCCACAAACTGTTATGTTGGAAGTCTTGGTAACACTTGCTAGTTAATGTATATAAAAATTGGCACTGTTTGTAAATTCTGTCCAAATCAGGATGGTCTCCATGGGGCAGGTTTTTCTAACAAGGTAGGTTAAAAATATCAGGACTTCAAATCAGTTTTCAGGCTGAATACCATCAGAGATTATTAGAAGGACCTTTGTTTTTTTCTTGTCATGAAGATTCTACTCAAATCAGTTTCAGTATTTCATTGCTTTGGCAATAGTAATTTTTGGGGTTGGTTTTTTTTTGGTTGGTTTGTTGTTTTTTGTTTGTTTGTTTTTGTTTTCCAGGTAGATCCATGTTTTTTTCTTAAATAGACATTATAATTTCTATTGAAATGCAATTCAAAATTTTCCCTTCAAATTCTTTGTGTTACAGTAAATGATACAGATGGCTCATGTAAATAATCCATACATGTGTAAACTCTTAGGAAGTTGCACTTAAAACTGCGAAGACTGGTACATGGATAAAACACAGTCACTATAGTATTAGTGCTTACCTTCTACTAATGTCTATCCACAGTACTTATATTTGTAATATACTGTAATATACTGTAATTTGTCTTGTTTTTATTATATTTGTATTTATATTTGCTTGATATATTCCGCTAATGCAATGTGGGAAGCGTGCAGTTGTGTTTTAGATAGCATTTCTTATTTTTATCTGAGTAAGACAGCATTATAAATTATAAAATTTAATTTGTGAAACATTATTTCAGTATTGTCACCACTTACAGATCTTGCATATCTGGAAATTTTGCCAGCACATCCCTTTCGTGGGACAGCTAGTAATAGTTTAAAAATGTATTTTGTGTCTTTTAAGAATTTTTAAGTAATTTCACTTCCCAGTTTTTTATGTTGATAGACTAACTTCAGTGACTTCAGTGAATCAGACTTGATAAAATCTTGTCATTGCAGTGATTAGAATGAAATCATAATCGTATCATATATCAGTGAAATAAGATGTTCATCTAAACACTGCAGAATTGTGAGCTTTTTAATGGCACCTGAAGTTTTGTGGAGAAAGACTGAAATTTTCTAAAACCTGTTAGCAAATGTATTGCAGTAAAGAATCTGTAAGATATAGAAACTACTATGGGAAAGATACTGAGTTAGAGAAAAAGAAGCCTAATTTTCTTAGTGAAATCAGTGTCTTCTTGTGCTTGAAGGTCTTGCAGGTAATTTGGTCACCAAACCCCAGTGATGCAGTCAGTGATGAATCTAGAATGATTTTAGGCTAACTTCAATCCCGATTACGGGTTGCAGCCTTCTAGTTCCAGGAAATTTCTCCCAGATTAAGAGAAGTTTGAAGGATGCTGGGCTTTTTACATTGTATGTCCAATACATTACAAAGTAATAGCCCACCTTGTCTGTAGAGGGAATCAAAGGTGCTTTACCTTTGTTTTCTACTCTTTGACTTTCATTCTGATTATTTCCTATAGCTTTGGCAGTTGGCTAACACCACTCAGTTCTACAATTTACAATTTTTTTATGATATGCTTGTATCAGTTTGACAACTGATGCAGTAGGTGTTGGAATGGGTGCCTGACGGATCAGCATTGGTAACTAACTACTGCTATCACTGCTTTTAAATAGTATATTCACAGATAAATTGACTTTGACATATGCCATCTTACTCTTCATATGAGTATATTCCAGATTTATCTTACAAATTGGCCCAAATTGGATACAGGGTGCAATCACAAAAATCTGTTTCCAAATACATTTCTTAAGTATATGACATGCACTTTTGTTTTTAATCTTGATCATTTAAATTCAGGTTTTGCAACATTGCATGTGTTTATAATAAGTAATAAACATAAATTTTAGTATAGGTCTTGGCAAGCTGCTTGTTGTTCTGGAATCTGTTCATTTGCCATATCAGAAAATTGACTCCTTGATATACCTTGAGAAGATGAAGACATGGAATATATATTATTTCAGTGTTAAGAATTAACAAGTATTTGGTTATTATCATGGATTTCTTTCTTTAAGATATTTTAAAAATTAGGTTTTTATTTGAATTTTATAGCTTAATTGTTGGGAGGTTGGTTGGTTGGTTTGTTTCCTATATCAAAAATTAGAATTTTGCTCTCTCCAAAGCAAAAGACCTTCTGGTAATGGGAAAGCTGTGAAATTGTGAATTATAAATGATAAAAACAAGGAGAATGAAAATTGAGCATTTAATGGTAGGTGGAAATTTTACTTAGACTGTTCTTTTGGAGAAGTTTGCATTCAATTTCAGCATATAACCAAGACTAGATGGAATAAGCCTTTGAAAAAAATTATTCTCATATAGTTTCAGTTAGTGGAAGTGGCCTTTGGCTATTCTTTGCATGCATCTGTAAGGATGCTTGTCCAAGACTCATCTTGAAGCCAGCTGTAGAACAAGCACCCTTCTGGTATGTTCATGAAGAGAACTCAAGGTTTGCACTGCACTGCCAGCATCAGACTGATTTGGCCTGGATGATGCTTTCCCATCTTTCCAGCAACACTCTGTGACTTGATCAGGAAGGCAGTTTTGCAAAACAAGGATTGAAGTTCTAGGAATCAGTTTGAGGAGCTACTAAACCTTCAGGGTAGTTGTGACCTCCAGCTCACATACCATGTAGATCTAGCCTTTGTGAAATCTTCAGGAAAACTTGGGAAGTATCAAACATTATATTCCTGATGGCTTTAAGGCTACATAAATGAACAAACCTACTGCGAAACACCAAGCTGAGTCAGTTTTTCTGATTTGCTTTTGAATGTTTCATAATGATTAGTGGTGTAGACCAGCTAGCAATAGAATATGATGTCTTCATCAAAATGTATGAAATTACGAAATTGTATTTTCAGGAGAATTTCACAAAATAGTGACAAAATATGCATTTTTCAGATTCCCAAGGGAAGATGTTCTGTATATGTTTATATATTAATCTGATTAATAATATTCTAGATTAATTCTCTGGAAGGATAACAGCAACTATTAAGCCACGGTGCTGCCATTCAGCATGTAGAGTATAAAGATTTTCTAAAACATTGTTGTGGCTTTCATTCTTTATTTTATTTCATCTTAGATCGTTGATATTATGTCTAAAAAAAATTTAACATTTTATTGAAGTATATGGATTAATTCAGCGGAAGGGGAAATGACAAATATAGCCTTTCTCAGCAGATAGTGCTTTAATGCTTTTGGTTTATATATTTGGCTGCATGTCTCCATCTTCACTGCATGTGACCATCTCTCTGTTTCTGCTCATTCTATCCAAATACACATCCATGTTTCCAAATTTTGTGAAGAACAAGGACGTTGGAGTCTTTCATTCCAAAACAGGACAGTGTAGACCACCTAAGTGCTAAACCTGGAGCAGCACAGAGGTATCCTTATTTACTCAAATCATAGTTTCAAGTAAATGAGGTATTGGTTATAGTATATTATTCATACGCTCTGCATAATACTTTCCCACATTTATTTTTTTTTCTCTTTTTATGTATAAGTACGTGTACGCATGTATTGTTCATAGGTAATATTTAATCCCCTACAAAGTACATTTAAGAGATAAATTTGAGTATGACATGAGTGTTCTAATCCCTAGTGCACTCTTCATACATCATACATTTTATAGGGGCATGAAAAGATGCCTACCTGTAAATATGTACATGCCAATGCCCACTGTGTGCTCAAGCTAAGCTAGGACTGTGAGTGCTTTAGCAGCCTGTTGAGCTATGCTGAATTGTGTACAGCCTCCTCTCAGGAAGAGGAAGGAAATAGAAAGGAAATTGTGATTATAAGCATATTTCTAATGTGTGCTGCTCACAAGGACAGCACAGAGAGCAGAGAAGTAAGTATATTCTCACTAGTGCTTTGTCACTTTTCATAGGAAAGCATTTCCTACTGTCACCTTTTCCATCCTACACGGAATCATAAAATGGTTTGGGTTGGAAGGAACCTTAAAGATCATTTAGTTCCAACCTCCTGCCATGGGGAGTTGCTACTTGACCAGAGTGCTCAAAGCTCCATCCAACCTGGCCTTAGGTGACTACTAAAAAGGGTAGCCACTATGTGATCTTTTCCTCCATTGCACATACCATAGTCTAAGCAAGTGACATAAGGAGTAAGGTGAAAGTAAGCCCTATAACCGACCAAACAGAAAATTAAGAGGGTGCTGCATTCAGGGGATCTAACCATAACTTTAAATACTTTGCTAATCTTAGGTTTTGAGTAAAGCTGCAGCATTTGCTATGTGTTTCCCTGTGGAAAAAGAAAAAAAATTTAAAAATGATGAGCATCTACAAAAAAAATAGGTTGGGGACAAAGAGGATTTTATTTTTAATCTGAGATAACTTTTTTTTTGGGGGGGGAGTAAGAAAAATAAATTATTTTAAAACCCAGAAAGCATCAGGTGATGACCTCTGCTCATGGAAAAGCATTTTGTATTTTGCTGCAGTATTGTCTTTGTTGTGGAGCATACTGCATCACAATATAATGCTTATCAAATATTGCAGTGTGTACAAATCATGAAAATCCACTGTAATTGTATTATTTGGGTATAATTTGGTGTTGCAGGTGTTCAGCTTTCTTCCAGTTCAGACACAGGATTACTCTTTACAACCACAAAGGTTTAAAAGCTCTCTATCTATCTATCTATCTATCTATCTATCTATCTATCTATCTAATCTATTATTTGTATCTATTTGTTTTCCCAAAGTAATTATTTTTAGCTTAATATGTGACATTCATTATATCATGGAAAGTTCCTATACATGTTTCTTGCACCAGTGTGAGATGCAAGTAAGGGTTTGTCAACATTTCTGGTCTATCAATGAATAATAGTAACTCCCTGGTTTTGAGCACTCTTGAAATACTTTATGCACTTTTTATTCCAAGAAAATAATATATATTGATTTTTATCAGAGGTTTAAAATTGTAAATCCTAATTTGTAACTGCTCACATTAATATGGATAGTAAAGACAATTTTGGAAAGCACAAGACTTGCAGAGCTTTTTATACTGTATTTATAGTCCTCAGTCATAATGGTGAAATATGCTTTATCTTTGTTCTTACATTTATTGAATCATATTACTGTTCATTGTTCTTATTTACTATCAATGTAAATGCTTAGATTTTCAGGACTAACTAGTGCCTCACTATCCAAATGTCAAATTAATTCTATAAAAGATACATGTGGGAGAAGAATGAAGGAAAGAAGTAAACTTCTAACTTATATTGACTAGAATAAACAGTTTGTTTAAACTGTTTCTAAAAGAACTCTGACAAGTTTTAATACAATGAGATTTTTGGAAAGCTGGGTTTTTATTAAACAGTGATGTCATTATTTAGATTTGATATGGTGCAGTATTTGTTTTGGTTTTGAAATTGAGATTTAAAAGCAATTTTTAAATTTTATGTTTGAATAGTATTTTCTGGTCTCTCCTTCAACATTTTTTTTTCTCTGCTGTCTACTCTGCATTTGTTTTTCATGCTGTTAAGAGAGGACTAAAAGGCCTATGAGGGGGTATTGTTTCTAATCAAATACAGACTGGGAAGTGGCAACTAACTGCAGGTTCAGCCAGGATTAATGTTATTTCCCCTGTTTTGTTACCTCATAACTTTCACACTATTAGCCTCAGTCAAACCTAATTAGTTCAATGTTTCTTAAGCCTCCACTTCAACAGCCTGTTCATGACAATAGTTGTCATTTTTTTCATCTGTCAACCATTTCTGTTATTAACTTTAATAATGCATTAATGAATAATCTTCATATTTCTGTATTCTTTTTCTTCTTTGTTTATTTCTCTTCTGGCATGTCATTTCACAGGCAGTCCAGAAAAGTGGAAAGATATAGCAGCCAAAAACAAACTAGGAAAGTCTCCGCAACTGAAACAGAAAGGTAGGATTGCTGATCGATGAGTAAACATCTCTTATAATGAATCTGTTTCCAGTTTTTGGAATATGCCTCCAATATGACTTTTAAAGTAGAATGCCTGTTGCAAAAGCTACATTGTTGTAATTTACAGTATTACTTACTTTGCATCTATATTATTATCTCTGCTTGCTATGTTGCATACATACAGAATTTTTTCTGGCCTTCTCCGTCATTGCAGATGAACTCAGTGTTAAAAAATAGCAATAAATCTGTTTTATGAGCCAAAATCTGAGACCCATTGCCACTACCTTGATCTCTGTAAGATGAAATTTGGAAATTTACAGCGTATTTCATTAGTATGGGACTAAACATTTTCTGTTCTTTACCTCTGAGCTTTATTCAAATAAGTCTTACCTCTTTTACAATAACTTTGAGTGTAAATAAAAATATATTAACAGATTATAATTCAAGATTTCTCTGTTCAAATTAATTTCACTTCATAATACAAAATTTTAAGTTACACATTTAAATACTTACAGAGTTAATATAAACACTGGGACTTTAACCTTTGTGTATTCATCGAATTTTCCTGTATTCGTATTATCCTTGTAGCTGTTAGCTTTGATGCTGCAGTAGTATAAGGTTATGTATTCAAAGTCTTAAGAAAAAGAGAAAAAAATAAATATATATACTAAATCCTAAGTACATCTAGTTAAGGTTTTAAGGTTGAAATAAAAGCAGTGAGGAGGGATGAGATCCTGCCTTTGTCAGAAACAGATTTCTGATATCTTGTTTAGCAGAGGAGGAATGTACATCAGTTTATATTGTGAGGGTTGAAAAACTTCCATAAACAGCACGCACACATTTTTATGTTCAATGAGAATGCGCATTATGTAGCAAAACATCAGAGCTTTTATTTTACTGTGTTCTTAATCCAAAAGCAATGGTTGCATTTTTCTTGGTTTTGATGATTCTGTCATCACAATAGCCCAGCTGCTTTTTCAGTTTAGACCAGAGAAATCACCTAAATGATGGCTGAAATCCTTGCTGTGTTTAAACTAGGGAGAGTCTTGCCATTGAGATCACTGAAGCCATTTTTTCTCTGTTTTTTGTTTGTTTTTTTGTTTGGTTTTTCTAACTTCTGAAGAGTAAGAGGAGCCTCTGGGACTGTGGTCCAAGGGTCTCACAGTTTTTGATAACCATTCAGCAGCGAACCCAGAGCAACAAGACCATAGGGGAAACCTGAGTTGTGCCTTTTGGTTTTACATCCCCAAGGCACATGGTGTAGGTTTCTGTTTCCATAAATGTTTCACTGCTGTTAGATGTGAGGCACATGTCTAAATAAGTCTGAGTTCTGTAGTTTAGTATTTCATCATAGATGCAGTGCTGTACTAGTTTTGGTAATTGGATAGGCAATTAATTTTCCTGTCAAATGGCAAATATAACTCCAGACTATTTCTTCATCAAATACCCATTTCTTTCTTAGATTTGATCTTTATTTTGTCACATGTTATGATACATAGAGTCTTTACTTACTTCATTTTACATAGGACACTGTACAAGGGGTGTGCTGGATTGGCAATGCTCTTTTATTCTTAGTTTTTCTTTATAGTTCCATAAGCGATAGCATGTTTTATTTAGGATGTGCCACTCAGGCATCAGTGTGAAGAGAAAGGATTTGAGTTTTCTTCTCTGCAAGCAGAGCTGGAACCTCCAGAATTCCCCTGTAGACTCTTGCCAATTGAATTAATCGGTTTGCTGCTTGAGTGTTACCTTCCTCTGTAAGGAGCCAGGAGATGAGATATACATGTATGTGTTTGTTGCAGTCTCATTGCAGACCAAGTATCATTTCTCTCCCAAATTCCTCTTATCTCCATACTTCTTATCTCACTTAAGTCTCGTTTCCTCAGTTGTACACTAGCTTTTGTCTCACATACTTGTTCCTTTTTGTCTCATCCTTCTGATCACCCATTTGCAGACTTCTTCCTTTCAACAACGGTTCTTTCTCCTAGGCCAGCAAGTCTTTAATTCCATTGTAGTTTTTCTCCAGTTCCCTCTTGGCTCTATTTTCATTTGCACCCCAAGTAGCATATTTGTCTCAGTGTAATCCAGCTAGTATACATCTTAAGCCTGGTTTGCCTTCCTTTTAGTTAAGCAGATCCTCTATCATTCTCTCATGGAGAGGGACAGGTCTGTGAAAAGGGTATTATTGAAAGAGCAAGAGGTTTCTGAGTCTCAGAAAAATGTCCATTTTGTAATGGCAGGAAAAACTCTCCTAGTGCTTTCAGATAAATTCTAGGATATTTAGCCTCTTAAATGAGAAAAATCAGAGTTGAGAACATGACACTGTTAGATTGGTGCGTTCATTCATAGAAAAAGCAAGCGAGCACCTTATGGCACATAGCTGGATCCATATTTACCTTATGGATGTTACGATGTTTAAACATCTGATAAAACACATACTTAAAAGCTGGTTGTATGCAATAGCTGGCATGGATTACTTTTACAATCAGCATGGAGAAAGAGGAATTCAGAAGCAGGGGAATCAGTTTCTGCAAGAACATTACAGTTACCACCAAGGCAAGCCAGGCGTTAAGCTAGGTAAGTGTTAAGGTTTAAGAGAAAGAAGATGGCGAGGGCAACAGCACCTTGGTTTTGTTGCATTGTGACTGCACTTTAACATAAACTGTTACTGATGAAATGGCTTTGAAACTGAACCTGTTTATTATCCTTGGTAGGTACACACATATTCTCTCTTATATACTTTTTTTTTTTTAGGATGACTTTTCAGTGTATGATAGTCATAGCATCTAGACAGTCCCTTGATTACTTTGAGTGTATCTCATGTCAAAGCAGTGCTGGGTGTGTGAAGAGAGACTCCATAAGTCTGCAAAAATTAAAACAAGCAAACAAAACCACAGTGAAATATCATGTGAAATTGAAATTTCTGAAATAACAGGAGTTGTAGTAGTAGCATTTACAAAATACTTCACTGTTAGAATACTTTGTCACTCTTCAAACTTGAAATGTTTCAGGTTATCATATACTTGCAGTGTATACAATTATTAAACTACTAATAATTATGATTAATTATACTAACACAATCATTTTACTGCATATTTTAATTACATTTTCATTAGAATTAGAAGTGTATTTATGTTTTAGGACTTACAGCAGAAAGATACAAAAATAGATCCCTTATTTCAAACTCAAGGGAATTACATATGTGCTTGCATATTGTCCTTTTGTTGGACAATTAACTGAAATCCAGTTAATATTTTTCACAAAGATAAAAGGTATGTTTCAGATACAGAAATGCTGTGTGGTAAATATTCATAGCCCACTCTGTGTTAGTACTTATGTCATATGTGTTGTTAGCATGTGTTTGTTGTGTTTAACATGCAGCTAGAGTTTTTGGCCAGCTCTCCACTATAAGCAACGCAGTTCAACAGTTCCATGGTTAGGGTTGTGTATCTGCAGTGGGTGAGTGTTCTGCAGCTCACAATTTTGAAAATGGATTTGCATTCAGAATTAAAAAGTTTGATCTGAAGTGTCAACCCTGGTCCTGCAGCCAGGATTTGCAATGTTCTTGGATGGAGGGGGGCATGGGAAGGTGTGCCTGGAGCTAACAACTGAACAGTTTCTTTTTGGCCCTAATGTTTTAGGGGTCTGCTACCATGTGTTTCTAGAAGGGGACTTCCAACCCCACGAACAACTGAACATCCAGTCATTAGGGGAAAACATCACACTCGCTCAAGGTCGAGTGAGCACTCTAGTATCAGACCCTTATGCTCTGTACATCACCTAGCGCCCGGAGGGTCGGCGCCACCTTCTCCACTTCTGACAAGGTCGCTATTACATGTACAGCACAGCTTTCATTTTCTGCCTCCCAGGTGTCAGTGTGGTGTTGTACTTTCCTCAGCATACATGGCGCATTCATTCATTCTGACACTGTAGATGATCCTCTCTTCATGGTATTTACACTTCTCCCATATCCTATATGCCACCTATCTTCACCATCCAGATGGTATTTCTTGCTGTTGAACTTAAATAGTTATGCAATGTAACAGTAAAAAATTGGCTGTGTTTTGTCCATCCATTGTTGTGTTTTGTTCTGTATCCATACAAAATATATCAAAGTATTTTTCTTAAACAGAGTGCAGGAAATGGCATGCTGTTCACACAACACGCTCTGATCTTACAAGCTAAGAGAAACTCAGTTCATCACCATAGTGTGAAAGCAAACAGTATTTTGCACTTGCACAAATGTGTTACTTAAAATTTCAAATAATCTACTTGCAACCTTAGTGTAGTATATGAACAGTACTTACTCACTCACACAGTGAGTGTGATATTACTGTGACTGGCAAGGACATCTAATAGTAAGCTCTCTCTCTCAGCGGTCTGCTTCTTCTCGTCTTGGCTTTATTCTCTTAAACTTTTCCCCTAGTTGTTAGAGGTGGCCCTACTTATTTTAAATGCAAACTTACCAGTGTTCCAAAAGCGTTTGATGTGTTGCACTGAGATGCTGTATCTATGTATAGGAAATCAAGTAGCAGAGGTGTTCTGCAATACTGCTAACTAGAATTCAGACAAAGGGCTTTAGGATATTTACTTAGGTATGAGTATAAAAAATCTTGTACGTTCTTTGCGCACATACACACATGCACCCTCATCCCCAATGCCAAGGTCTTTTTCCTCCCTTTGAGTTCAGATTAAAACAACAGGTTGCCCTATGGGAATAGGTACTTGTTGTCCAGATCTTTGTGGCCTTGGGCAATTATTGCATCAGCACAAAAGGAATACAAAAGTTAATTAAAAATGGAGGTGGTAATTTGTATTGCCCTGTTCCAGTGCAGGAGAACATACATAAACTGTGAGTCATAAATGTTTTTAAAAATGCTTTTTCTTCAGTGGATTTTTACCAGTACTTTATTAAAATAAAATAAAATTAAATTAAAAAAAAAACAAAACCAAACAACAAACACATCAAAAGGAAGGAAAGTATTTTTTCCTTATTTGAAGGTAATTAGAGAAATAAAATGTGAGGCCTTCTAAGTTAACTAGGTATCTAGAGCTGAGTATATGTATATGGCATACACCAAATGTAAACTTACTTAAACCCATCTTCAATATATGCAACTTAATGTTTGAAATTCCAAATATAAACATTGTCTTAATTGAGGTTATTTTACTTTTATCTTAATTTCATTTGCAGAATACATCAACAAGGAAGTCCCACGCAGTCTCCTCCTGCAGACACATCCTTCAGCAGTCGCAGGGGAAGACAGCTACCACAAGTTCCAGTAAGAAGTGGCAGTATAGAGCAAGGTATCAAATAATGAGCTTATAATGACTCAAAACTCTTTGCTTTCTTACCTTTCTTTACTTAAAGTCTACTCTCATAACTATGCGTTCAATGCTATAATCCTACCAAAAAAGCAATAGCAGAAAATGGAAACAACTTTGTAGTCTGGGAAATCCAGTAGATCTTGACCGGTGAATTATTACACATGGTTTGATTGCCTTAATTTTCTAGTACCCTTTTTGTCTGTCTGCCTTAAAATTTCTGTTAGAATTGTGGTATTTTCCAACACATACCTAGTGTGTATTCAGATAAATCAGGCAAAAATTTTGACATTTTGTCAGTTTTGCTCATTTTGTGGTTTATATTAATTGTTGTGCATTGCTAACATAGATTAATATCATAAATCTGGTTTTCTTCTGGAGTTCGTAGTTCAGTGAGTAATGAATAAAAATATTCACCATAGGAAGTGTGAAAACACAAGTCATCAGCTCTTTCTTTCTTAAGAACAAACTGATCTGGCAAAGAGTGCTGCTCTTTTTTGAAAAAGATAATATACACTTAATGGTTGTGGAAGATTTATTACATACTAATATCAAATAAGTATGAATATTGAGGCTTCCTTTTCTAGCAGCACACTGCTAGAGCATGGTAAAATGAAATGGCACAATGGATAAATATTTACATGTTCAGGTTTACTTCTGTGTTTAAAAAGCCTTTTTTATCACCGACTATAAGCAAAAACTGAGACTGCCATATACTGCGAGAATTTCCTCTCTTTTGAAATTAAAGGAATGCGTCTAATGATGAAATACTGTAGTGCTTTTAGAACTGTTGACAGACCATTTTCTTAAACAGATGATGTTGCTGAACATGACCTTTTTATCATGATAGATTATCCATAAGGGTTTTTTTGTATGATGGTTTACATTAACATGCAATCAGCTTGCATTAATTTTATGGCTTTGAGCTGCGATGGCATACTAAACCTTCAACTAACACACATAAAAATGTATTCTTGTCTTATACATGTGTTTATTCTGAATGATGAATGTATCTAAATGATTAATATACTAATTCAAGTGGGTTGTATTAATTTTAAACTTTACATTCAAGTCCTCGCATTTTGTAGTGAATCTAGGATGGTCTGGATTATAAAAAAATTACAAACTGCATTTGCAGGTTCTATTTCTGCATAATAGTAAGTTGGGAGCTCTATAGGGAAATATAAGTAATAAATTTCAAATTTTGTTCATGTTTCTTCTGCAGTTTCAGAACTTGGTAGAATATAATGATGAATCAGCTTTTAACTTAAGTTGGCTTTTGTTTGAATATTTATCTGTCATCTTTCTGCTGTAATAACTGTTGTGTTAAGAATAAAATACTGATTTATCTTTAGTTAAAGACATTGGAAAAAATGGGAGGAAATTAAAAAATGAAAACTGAGCGAAGTCTAAAGCTTCTCAAGGTTTAGAAAGTTGATGGTATCGTGAAAAGCTGTATAGTAGTGCTGTTTCACTGAACTCCTCTTTACAGTTAGTGGTTCATATGTTTGCGTCTTATGTATAAAATGTGCAAATGGGATGCGACGTCTCATTTACTTTGTTCTTACATATCATACTGCCTGTGTCAATATGGCTGCATTATGGCACATGGAATCAAAGGCAAAAGAGATTCCTTCTCAGCGTAGTACTTTGGTGTTGTCAAAGTGACTGGCTTGTCCTTTTGAAGGGGAAGTTTTCTGATCTTACGTATGTTTAATACTTCGTTCAAGCTGAGAATATATTTGCAGAGAAATACATAATTAAATAGATTTTATAAAATATTTTAGATGGTTTTGGCAATATATGCAGAAATAAGTGACAGTATGTATAAACTTTATGCTACTGTAAGAAACTAAATCCTGTAATGACCACAGTATTTGCTCTGATTTGCAGTTTCAAATTTTAGTATGAGTTTCCTCTTTACAAATGAGTATCAGGGTCAAATGGAGTGGCTAGAAACAATCTGACCCTAATGTAGGCTTGAATCCAAAGCATATTGAGGTCTGGAAAAAATTTCCATTAACTGTGCATGGAACTGAATTGTGTCCTTAGTGATTTAAGTTCACAATCACTGTGGATATAGATGATGTCAAAATCTATTGCAGTATAAAAATGTTATAGGGAGCAATTCAAAATGCATTTTCTTCATTTATAAACAAAGCTACATTTTGGTGGTCAGAAGTGACATCCTGTGTTTCAAGGAAATTTTGTATGGTATCATTTTGTGAGGTATCATTTTTTATAGTAAAGTACTACTTTTTCTCTATACAACTTCTGTTACATCAGGAGGGTTGAATACACATCCAAATAAATACATCCATGGATCCGTGTCTGGTTTAGAAATAACAGTGATTTCTGTCAAAAGATTGAGTGTCTGTATGTCAAGACTGGGGGGGGGGTGTTGTATTTATTCTTTGTATATTCAGGAGGCACAGAAGAATCCATTCAACTAATTTTATTACTCTTCAAAGCTCACATTATGGAACAAATAAGAGTTAATGAAGGAGCAAGAGACTGGTAGTTGTTTTCATCTTGAGAAGCAGAGTGATATTTAACTCCTAATCTTTCATCTTTAGCTCTCATTTGTAAATTACAATATCCACACTCATAAGGCTTTTTGTAGGACTGACATTGCATCTCAGACATTCCATTTTCTCATTGTCAAGTTTAGAACTGAAAAAATGGTAGTGTCTACCAGATGATGTCTTAGTTACTGCTCTGGTTGGCAGTTTGAGGATCATAACAAGACAACTTGTGAGGAAAATAAGGTAGTTTTAAAAGGTGCATATCAGTAGACACACTTTATTAAACAAAACAAAACCCCAAACCAACTCATAGAAGGAACTCTTACAGAGAAGACCGAAGTAGTGATCCCTATTCCATTACAGAATTTGATTTAGTACCCTGTGAATATGTTCTAAAGAGAACAGCAGCTTTGTCTAGCTTTGGAGTGGGGAAGGGAGGTTTTCACGTGGGACATTTCTAAATAAATAATATTTTTAGCAACACTAGTACATGCAGGCTTTTTAAAGTGCTTACAGTTAAGATTGTAGGCTTCTGTAATCTTAAGTCAGCGTGATTTTAATTCCAGTGATATTCAAAGAAGTCATAGCTGTATTTCTTTCCTTTGCAACCCTGTCACCAGTATTTCTGAGAGCGCGAGACATCATGAGATGTTATTGTATCCAAAGGTCTTGAGATGCTTGGGTATTGAAAGTTATTGTGGTAAACGTGTGTCTGTGTTTATTATCAAAAAGTCACAATTCAGTAGTCATTACCCTAACACATGGTACTTAACAAGTGGTTTTGTTTTTGTTTTTGTTTTAATCGATAATTTTATAAAAAGATGTTTTGGCTTAATGATTAAAGCAGTGAAACTCTTAAGCCCTGGTAAGGACAATGGCCTGTTCTCAATGTCATCCTGTGCTGAGTTGCAAGAGATTTGCATCAGTGGTTTTTTTTTACTTGCATTGTGTTTGAGTGGAACTGTGAAAATCATTCAGAGGGGTGGGGATTCTGCATTGACATTGTCTTTTCAGTTGTTTAACAACTTTGCTATGTAGTTGCATGGGTTTTATACTTTTGTATAAAGCATTTCTATGATCTTTGTTCAGTCTTTCCTTTTTCACTGAAACTATCAAATATCACAGAATTCAATAGGTTTTGAGAGTGGGTCTCTATAGTTTTGTATAATGACTAATCATTGTGTTGATTAAGAAAATTAATACAGCCTGAAGATTCGCAGAATTTTTCTACACTCCTTTTTGGCCACATTACATAATGCTAGGGATAATGTTAGGAAATCTAGCGTTTCAACGTACTGTTGAAATTTAGGGTTCGGTGAGATAAATGTGCAATGATTGTAGTATAGAAATGATCTTTAAGAGCTAATGCATGCAAAACAGGTCTTTCTCCCTGCATCTGCTTCTGTTTGGCTCTTCACAGCATGATTTCTTTTTCATAACTTCGACAGTGTGGTTTCATGTTTCAAAACTCCTATAATGAGGATAAGGTTTGTAATAATCAGCGTCTATTTACATATAAAGATCATTTATAAACCTAACTGAAGTAGTGTGGTTGTGTGTGTTTCCAGTGGCATCTGTTAACAATAGGCCTTAAGCAGTGACCTTTAGAAAAGCAAAATTGTGACCAGAATTAAATGTTGCTGTAAGCTCATGTTAGAAAAAGCTGCATAAGGTTTGTACAGAGCTCGTAGGCAGGATGAAGTGAACGTGTGCATGTGTGCTTCTGTTTTGTGAGGGAAAGCTGCAAAGACTCCACTGATACTGAATGGGGGTTACTTATATAAAGTTCATGTGTATAATATACATACAAGTCTTTAATGGTAGTCACATCCTACAAGCATGAAGTATTTTGATATTCAGTGTTTCATTTTAACAAATAATAATCAGAATTTTGTACAGAAAATCAGTATGTTGTCAAACAATACATTTGAGCTGCAAATACATTTTTATGTTTAACCAACTTAAGATCCTAAAAAAAAATAGTAGCTAGTCAAAATCATTCTGTCTGTATGTACTTGACCTTTGAAATGTCATTGCAGTGAGAGTGTTGCTTGAGTAGTGGTAAAAGATCAAACCCTTTCAGTTAAAACCTTTTTTCAGATCCATCAGTATAAAACTTGACTGGCAGAAGAAAAAAAGTCATTTCAATTTTAGCTTTTAGACATTTAGCACTGTTTGTTTTGTCTTCATATTTGTGGTTTTAATTTGAAATTATTAGGTGGCACTACATATGTTGAGGCAGCTTGTGGAATCTTTGCTCACGCTGGAGAGTATTTTTTCTCAGCATTGCTAACTGAGATGCATGTAAAGGAGTGCAAGCTTCATAATCTTTTATGCTTTCCTTAAACACTGATTTTCAATAATCCAATGGTTATTGAGTATTATAGATTTTAGTTAACAGAAAATGAATTTATAACACTTATTATTGCAGAAAAGGCTTCAGAATCTAAAACAGGGCTATGTGTTTCATGAGTGTAAGTGATACTTAAAGGAATTTTAAGGGTTTTATGTCATTCATAAATTTGAGTATGACAATACTGCTCGAGCAGAACACTTAAAGAGTCCACAATCTGGTTCTCAGTAATTTCATTCTTCCTCTTAATTTTAAAGAAAAAGTCATAGGCTTTATTATTTGTCATGGTTTATCATTTTAATTTTCTACATTACTTTTACATATGCTGGAGTACTGCCTACTGTACATGCCATTATCACTTGTAACACATTTCTTTATCTAACTTTAAATTTGCTGATTTCTTTTTCTGTTTCCATCATTCCGTGCATTTAATTCATTGAAGAGCAAGAGACTTTTAACTCATCCACAACAGGTAAATATTTATGTAATTTTTTACAAATGTTTGGCAACTGTTGATACTGGCTTTTCCCTCAGTATAGTCCGTGTCCCTATAGAGTATTTAGTTAACAGTGTTTAACAGGTGGGAAGGTTGTTTCTCAAGTATCTGTATGCTATCTAATGCCCCTCTTTAGAATCAAAAAATATTTTCACTTGTGATTTCTAATTTTACTGTTGAAATGCAATATACTGGATTTAGCAGGAGTAGTCATGGTATTTTACATGGCTCAGAAGGTGCTCAATTGAGTCAAAGTTCGCACAAAGATTAAAATTTTACCTAAACTCTTTTTGCTTTCTGTACAACATCTGCTTCTAAGAGTGCAGCCATGGCTCTTGGCGTCTCTGAAGGATGTTTCATAGGTCTGGACTTAGAAATAGTTGAAGGTAATGATGGCCAGAAACTATCCTTCTTATGCAGAGAGATTCTGAAGAATGAGATGTGTTTTATTTGCATAAGCCCTTGACAGTCAGAAAATTCATGTTATAGGGCAGGTTTCTAGGGGCGGACATTCAGTGCTCACCTCCTAGGAATTCTGCGTGTCTGTACTGATACCGGTGAATCAGTGAGTTCAAACAACAGGTATTGAAGGCTGTACCACAAAGTGAAAAGCATAGTCTGTCATGGCCCTGTCAAGGCAACATTCCAGAGGAGCCCTATTTTTTTTTTTTTTGAAAGCTTGGAGAGAAAAAAAGAAAAACAAAAACAAGAAAAGAGTTCTTTTAATCGTTTTAATGTTAACAACAAAATACAATGCTGCATAAACATTAATAGCACAGATTAACCTTCTCTGACCTTTAGTTCTGAGTCCAGCAGATCTTGGGAGATTCTGGTCTGAATACAGCTTTGGTGGGTCAAAGCCAAACTGTGAGTTGAACTTGAATCAGAATTATTTCTTACAACCTCTTTACTTTCTGAAAGGGTGAATCCCACTGACACATTAATGCTTGCTTAGGTAAAAATACAGCAGGTGTTCCAGTAGCTATGAATTCCAGCAGTCATGGTAATACTCAGGAATATGTTTTTAAAAAAAAGATGAAAAAGAAATAATATTTAACTTTAGCAATTACAGGTTATTTTATAGTGTTGAGAATGTCCTATGAAATATCTTAAGCTAAGTGTTAAGAATGGTTGATTTTACAAATTATTTCTGTCATTTTTTGCTTTCTTCAGTATGTGTATTTCTCTGAAACAGAACAATACAAATCAGTCATGTCAGTTTGTTGTTTATGTCTTTCTGAAGTTTACAAACCTTGCTGTGTGGCTTGGACTGCTGTGGATATTTCATTGTTTCGAACAGTTGACTTTATGCAGATAAATTAGACCATGCCAGTAACAGGTTTGTAAAAGAGCTTGTTTCCATGAGATTTAGGTGGATCTGGCCTAAGATCTGGGAGTGCATAAAGCATAGCGGGATCTTTACACACATAGATTCCTCTGCCTCAAGTAAGCTGAATGCAGATGCAGCCTGGAAGCAGGAAAGAGCTGGGCAAAAGAAGAGGAGCAGGAAGGAGGAAAGTGCTGGCATCTCTGTTTGGATCATTCTTGAAACTTTTTGAGGGAGAACTGAGTGTTGCAGCAGCCAGAACAGATTTTTATATTGGCTTATCTTCCTTCTAGAGCGAGTTATAAGACTCAAGATGGCCACTGTGCCTCTGGGTGTACTGGGAGATCCCAGCTGGGAGAGCCAAGCTCATTTCCCAGCTTGGCAGTCATTTCTCAGCTCTGATTTGTGAGGACCTTCAGAGCAGTATCCCATCTCATGGAGAAGAAACCCATGCACACAAGCTGAAAGGAGCCACAGCTCATTCTAGTCAGGTACAGGGACCAGAGCTGCAGAGCAGCCTTCAGAGCAGCTTCAGAGCCCATCTCCCTCACTATCTGCATATTGCCTATAGGTACCTTTGAAAGTCATATATGCAAAGAACCAAGTTCTTTATCTTAGCAACAATTTGATTTTTCAGTGTTACTGAAAAAACATTAATCTGCTCATGATTTCAATTTTTTGTGTGTTTTTTACATTTCACAGTAGAGTTTGCTGTGGATTTTTAGTCATGAAACCTACCACACGGATATTTTGTGTGTGCATATTGCAAAACTCATCCTGAAGGATGAAAAGAAATAACCTGGAGACTCTGTATTATTTCTGCAATGCTTCATCCTGGTCCAGCACAAGTGTGAGATCTTTCTGCTGTGCCACACAGCCAGCTCTCCAGTGAGTGTTCTCCTCCTTGCTTACTTCCCTTGTCCACTGCCGTAGGGGATTTTCTCATCCAAATCTCACCACTGCTGTATTTCCCTGCCTTTGTTCTGGATGCTACTTCTGCCTAGTTTCTTCAGTATCTTCCACTTCTCACTTCCTCAAACGAGATATTTGTGCCATTCCCTGTTGCCCTGCCAGAACCTGCTCCTTGTGTCCCAGAAACATTGTTATGATGTAATAGTTTTTATGAGACAAATTTTCATTTCAACTTACTTTTCAGTAGTTTCCTTGTATAAGCAAATATTTTTGTCATTTTAGACTTCTAGACCTCTTCCCTTAAAGTCTGCAGCTTAAAGGATGTGTGATCTGCTGGTAGGTGTTACAGCTATCTGAAATCTTGATGCTAATTTCTTCTTGTTTTGTAGCTTACTCCAACTTATAATAATGCAAGTAAGACTTTGAGGATTCCCACATTGTACTGTTTACCTACTCCTCCTTGTGTGTCTTGACCATCTTGAATGGAAACGTGCATCAAGAGCAAATTCTGTGTTAGTTGCAGACTTCACCATGACAGAAAATGGTACAGCCAGTGCCAAGACATCTGTAGGTTTTCTGTAGTCTAGGAAAAACCAATATGGTTATCAGTTTTCATCACAGGTCAGGTAATGTCACTAGTCATTCTGGCATTAGCCCATACTTGGATTTGAGCAAGAATGTTATTTTAGAAAGGTATTATCACTTAATGGCTTCAAGAAATGGAAAATTGTTCTTCTGCTTAACCACCTGACTTTTAAAACATATGTCTTGTTACTTATCTGAATTTAATCTAAGTTCATAGCTACTGGGCATTATTGTACCTCTATCTGCTAAATTGAAGAGCCTTCTACTATTAGAAATCATCCCATGTGTAAATAATTATGGACCCAAATCAAGCCACATATCTCCTTTCTTTTTAAGATTGCAAGACTGCATCCCGGACTTCATACAATTCTTATGATTTCTCTCTGAATCCTTTTCACCAGCAGTATGCTTGGAATGATAATATTCCTAAAATATCAGAATCCACTGACCTTAGCTAAATTGAGTATCTTCCAGTTTCCATGTTTATTTTTGATGTCCTAAAACTCCCTGTCTCTGTATGGCTCCTCACCCACCCTGAGGCAGCACCAGCTGGTCAGTGACATAGAGGGCAACACCCCCTCCTTGTCTCCTCTGCCTGTCCTTCCTAAAGAGCCTGCATCCTTCCATTCCAACACTCCAGTTACAGGAGTTATCCTGCTACATCTCTGTGATGCCAGTAAGATTGTAGCCTTTCAGGTGCATGCACATCTCTTGCTTATTACCCATGCTACATGTGATTGCATAGAGGCATATAACTTGGGCCCCTGATGAAGCAAAATAATAAACAAAGTAATAGCTAAGGGAATTTTGGTTTGTTGGATGGAAGACCATTCAGAACTACATTGGGCAGTTAATTCTGGTAGCTTGGGGAGGTGGTTTAACCAAAGCCAGCACTAGCTGCTTGCACACTCCAGCCTCTGTGGTGGGATGGAGTAGAGATTTGGAAGATCAGTAATGAGTAAAATCTCATGAGCTAAGATAAAGACAGCTTGATAAGTAAAAGGAAAAAATGAAAGGGGGGGGGGGAAGCCAAACAAACAAAGAAATGCAAAGGCATTCACTCACCATCTCCCATCAGTAGACCAATGCCCGGCCAGTCTCTGAGCAATGGCTACCTTGAAAGACTACCCCCAGCTGTATTGCTGAAAATGATGCTGTATGGTATGGAACGTCCCTTTGGTCAGTTGGAGCTCGCTGTGAAAGCTTCCCCTTCTAATCTCCAGCCTACTTGCATGGGGAGTGCGGAGAAAAGGGGTGTCAGGGCAGTGCGGCATGAGAAGCAGAGGTGGCCTTGATGCTGTGTAAACACTGCCCAGCAATCACTAAAACATCAGTGTTTTATCAGCACTGTTTTAGCCCAAAATCTGAAACTCAACACCATACGTGGTGCTGTGAAGAAAACTGCCTCTGTCCCAGACAGACCCAGTGCACCTGACAAGAGTCAGACCCATTTATAAATACATTAATGGAACTGAAAGATAACATTTTGAATTCCATGCATATGTCTGTCTTTACTCTCCCGCATGGCTTGATTGTTGATGTAAATCATTGTTGTACAACCTTCATATTTTTTTAGTAGCAGTAAAAGATTTAGCTCTAAACTTGCACCCCTTATCTAAGCAATCTGCTCAAAGAGTTCTTTTCTTTCAATTACTACTTATGCTGATTGACCTCACATCTGAATCAGTAGCTCTTGAAAAGATTAGAGCTCTTTAAAGTGCAGCTTCTGACACCAAAGGGAGTAACGTATATGCAACTGCTACTGATGGTAGTTATAACATTAATTTGAGACACTTATGTTAAATCTCCATATTTTGAATTCTAGGGCCACTGTAGAATTTAAAGGTCTTGGGGTTACAGTGCTTTGATCTGTAAATTACTGTGTAGTGCTACCCCTCAAGCTCCAGGAAAAGTGCTCTGTAAATACGGATGTCCTAAAAGAAAGTAGATCCATATGTTTCTAAGAGGCAGGTTAAGATTTTGAAGAACTGTTGATGTCAAATTTTCGTTACCTGTGGTAACTAGCTGTGTTCCAAGAAAGTAATGTGATTGTATGGTGGTGTTACCTATGGTTGTTAAAGCTTCTGCTAATGTGCTCTTGTGTTAGAGTTGTTTTTTTTCTGCTTCTTGTGATTAACATGTAAAGACTAAACTAAGATTTTCCTTCAGATAAAACTGATCAGGCAGATGAAATTTTCTATCCGAGAACTAAGCTAGATACAACATTTCTCAGATGTGTATGATAAACAAAGATGGAAAGAACAGTTGTATTTTCTAGACCAGACTTACGTTTCACACAGTTGCTTGCTTAGAAATACACTGACATGTAATTGATACTATATTACACTTGACACCATGAAGAGAGCCAATTTTGCCCATTAGAGAATTTAGATTAACTTCACAGTCCTCATTAATTGTTCCCATTTTATATAATGATATCTAATAATGAAAACCAGAACACGAGTGAGTTGTTAAGGTTAAGGATTTAAACATAACAAAATCAAGAATTACAGAGTTAAGGTTGAATATTTACCCAACCTGGACTGTGGTAATTTTCACCTATAGTCTCTGAAATAGCATCTCATTTAGTGGTAGAATATTCTTTCTCAGGTATTGTAAATAATGCAGAGTAAAATTATAGCATGTAAGTGTAAATGTACAGTTGACAGGGTGAAGCACCTAAAAGTCACACAATGAAATGGTTATTTTTTAGAGTAACTGTAATCTGTGTACCATAGACACACAGGGCTAAATTTTTAAAGGGGTCTCAATTTTCCCTCTGATTTTATATCCTCAGTCTATTTCATGCACGTATGATAGGATTAAGATAGCTGAGTTTATTACTTCAGTCGCTAATTGGTATATCTTAATCCTTTCATATCTATCCTTAAAATGAGGCCATCTTTAAAAGTTTCTCCTAAAGTGCTCAATTTTGCCTTCAGATACCTCCATGCAACTTCCATTGAAGTAATTGGAGCTGTGCCCGCATATCTGATGGTGGAACTGGACTCATTGAAATTAAGGTACACATTTACTGGCATAATTAGTCATCTGGAATGATCGCTGGGCCCAGACTGACATACTGCTTGTGCAGAATTTCCTAGAGTGGATTCTCTGCACGTGGGAGATTGAAGATTAGCGTGATGTTCATTTTGTGCCTTAAATTTGTAGTTGTAGCAGAATTTTACTGTAATTTAACATATTAATTTTCCTATTTTTAAATAAGAAATATGGAAGGAGGACATGAAAAGAGCATATTTTTCACGATGATGTCTTTGTACATTTTTTCATACCAAACGAGTAGGCACACATTCCATCATTTCTACAAACACGTTACAGAGTATGTGCATGCACAGTTGTGCTTTGTGGAGTAGCATGTAGTTTAAAATATCCAACCCTAGTACACTGGTTTTGGGTTTTTTTTTGAGGAGTGTGGGGTGGGGTCTTTTAACTTGCAAAGCACAGAGGGAAAAATAGGTGTGTAAAGAATCCCACAGTTACCTAACAGCAAAAAAAACCCACATATGAGAACTTTAGTACCTCATGATCCACAATATATACGGTATAATAGAGCACTTATTTTCCACTAATTTGAAATTCTCTGTGTTTTGTGACTGAGAATTGCTTCCATGCAGCTTTTAGATCGGTGTCTCTCTCCTGTCTGGTCTGGGGAGGGGCTGTTTACAAAAATCTTGACTTTTAAAACTAACGGGTTTGGAGGGAGTTGTATAAATCCGTGGCTGCCCCTAAAGCAGAAGACTTTGTGGAAGTTTTCCCAAAGGAAGTGCCAGTCTTGAATTTGTGACCTGTTGTGGTTGAACCCAGGACATGACCCCACAAAAAATTCCACCTGAAAGAAGTTGTTCTGGGATGTTATAACCTGTTAAAGCACAATAAAACTGGCGAGTACTCATGTGATTTAGAAAAGCTACAGATGAATATTTGGGTTGAGTTCTAGAACTATTAAAAAGTGCCAGTTTTCAAGGTATTGGTTTTATTTGGTATTTCTTTGCATTTATAGGGCTACCCAAGTTTAAGAATGGCAGAATATGTAGTTCCCTATGAAAATTATCCATTACCACAAAGGTTGAATTTATTTTATGGAAGCCTTAGCCCACGGGCTTTCACACCACTCTTTCTGTTAGTGCGAGATCATCTTCTTGTGGCAAGTGCAGCTAATATTAATTGCCATAACTTGTTCAAATTGAAGATGCTCTTTATAACACCACAATTTGTGGAAGGTTTAAGATTTGATTTCTTTTTTTCTAAACAAACACTCTCATAGGGGAGTTGAAAGCACAAGAACAAATAATTTGTTCAAAATAGAGCATTAGAGAGCAAAGTAGTGCTTTTAGAGGACTTTCTGTAAAAAAAAAAAAAGCAAAACTAAACAAAAAATTACTGTATTTTTTTACTATGACTGGTTGAATGGAGAAATTATTCCTTTCAAATAATCTTTGGCTATGGTAATCAGTTATGTTTTAACATAGTAGTAGTAGTAGTTAATTACTTTAAAAATAAATTTTAATACCTGTTTAATGCATTAATTCTTAGTATGCTACTGTAATATTTTCTACATTTAAGCAAATACATGGTTAGATGATAGTGGCTTTATGTCCCCTGCATCCAGAATACTGAACAGGTTTATAATTCAGCCTATCACGGAAATTCTTTCACTTTTTTCATATTTATTGCACCAGCTTTATTATGTATAGGAAATTGGGATTTCTATCCATTTTCAGGTAAAGACTCTTGCAACGGAAGAGATTGATTTCTTGACATTAGTGTTCCTTTGTTCTATGTTTACACCCTGCTTGTCCTATGTTTGTACATTTCTTTGTTTCGTTGAGATGGAAATAGGCTAAAATTATTGCTAAACCGTTTGTTTTTCCAAAAAGGTTTCACTATTTTTAATTGATTTTCATTGTGTGTTTTTGCAGCAAGCTTAGTAGTGGAGGAGCGAACGAGACAGATGAAAATGAAAGTGCACCGTTATAATCAGACATCAGGGTCTGGTTCTAGTCAAGAATATGAGCGTGAGCAATATACCAAGGTAAAGTCAGTAGTATTGAAATGATGCTTTGGCTTGAAAATTGAAGGCATAAACCTGTTTATTCAAAGTATTATTTAACACTCAAGAACACGATGTTGTAAAGCCTAACAGGAATGTCTTTGAGCAACAGCTTTTCAGCATTGCTTTTACCCCCATCTGATGTGCATTAGACTTAGTCTTTGTAAGGAGACTTAGGTCTTCATCACCTAAAATGAATCTGCAAAAAACCAGAACGCTTCAAAACAAATTCAGGGAAGAAAGGTCCTTCAACAGTTGTTAAACAAAGCCATGTCTCCTCTAGTTTAGGAAGACCATGGACTGCAAATCCCTGGAGGCTGAAAAAGTGGGCCATGGAAATACCATGCTATATTGATCCCACTCGTTATTTCTTTTCTTCCCTTGCTATGTCTGAAGTGTAGAGTGCTAAGCAGTATTAGATCCAATCCCATATAGCTGTTCTCATATATGTATAATTTTTTTTATCCTAAAAATATCACAGATAAAATATTTAATATCTTGAAATGCATACTGATTACTTTCATCTCCTTTTGTAATAAAAGTGTAAAGATTTCCTCTGATAATTAAGTGCACATGAAATTAAATTATGTAGAGAGACCTTTTTTTTTTTTTCCTTGATAATGCTAAAATGATCTCCTGCAACCTTGTAAGTTTAAAACTACAGGATTCTGAGCAAACTGTGCAAATGTCTCACACATCTGCACTGCCACTTCCAAATCAAGATGTGAGAGGCTGGAGTGGAACTTTCTGCCAAAGATGTTTTGCTTTGTGATGCCGAACAGAGAGGAAACATTTGCAGGAGTCAGGAGGGAAATGTTTGATTAGATGTTTTCTCCTAGAAATACAGCACTGTGTTGGTGTAGACAACGTAAACGGCAGAGACAACAGCAGTGGTAACACAGTCATGGAGGCAATATTCCTGCAATTATCTTCTTCCAGTGCCATTCAGATTAAAGTGATTTCAGTGGGTGACCATAGGACGGCAGTATGACTGTAAAAGTTCACACTGAAAAATTTAAGGCACATGTAGCAACTGTATGCATTAAAAATAAGGTCTCAGAATAACAGTAGTTGGGAGATAAACACAGCTTTTATTAATTTAGACTTTCATGCTTCGCTAGCCACATTTCAAAGGTTTTCTTCACATCAGTGAATACTAAACACTTGTACTTTTATTTCTACAACTTAAAAGAGACAAACTTTCCATTTATGAACCAGTGCCATACAGAAAACAGCAACCTTTGTCAAGCTCTCCGCAGCTGCAGACATCAGAACACTCCCGGCATTTATCGCTGTAGCACAAGCACCGGACTTTCTGTCCCCTGGGTCACTTCTCTGTGTTCCCAAAATTGGTGCATGCTCCTGGAGGCACAAATTAAAATAATAAATAAGTGAGGTACTCAGCAGAATCAAAATCAGGTATTTACTTATGAGTGGGTAAATAGACAATTTGGCATCTGACATATCTAACTGATTTGAAAGATTTGTTCAAAAGGTTTTTACAGTTAAATGTAGAAACAACTTTAATAAAGTTGTTTCGAAACCACTCCACTGTGAACATAGAACTTAAATGAACAGTTCTCAAAGGGAAGAGAAATAAGAGAAACAAGGCTTTGTGTCCTCAGTTGCCAAATTGTGGCATATTGGGTTTAAAATAAAAACACAATTGGGATGGAAATTTTCAGTGAGATAATATGTCAGAAGCCAGAATTTGTATAATAATTAGAACAACTCATTTGGTACTGGGTTTGTTGTTATCTTCACAAGAGGTCAACTCAGGACAAGAGGGTGAGAGGCAGTGTGTCTCTGAGGTACTTCCCAACCAGTTGATATGTGAAAAATCATAGTACAAATAGGTCTGATAAAGTTTGCAGGAAAAAGAGGTAATGTGCAATCTGAGGACTTTGGCCAGGATAACCAAACATACACCTTTGTTCATAGCTCAAGGCCAGTTGTTTGCTTTGGATTAACTGTGCTTACAGAGAGGTCTAAATGTTTGTATTTTTTCATTTTGAAGCAATTATTTTTTTAAACCTCAGTCTCTAATATTTGTCATAAGCATTATTTTCTTTATTGGGTTAATGCAGATCCAATGTACAGTTAAATAGTTGTTGGAAAACATCAACTTGCAATGTTACAAATTTCTTTCATCCTCTAGTACCCTAAGTTTTCTACTATGTGTTTGGTTTTAAGAGATATGTGGAAATTAAAATTGAAGTCACGGCCTGATGAGTTCTAAGTGGAAAGAACTCTGTTGGAAATTGTTATATTCAGATTTATTTTGTTTTTAAGTATGACCACAACTTTGTGGAAGAAAATTCTCTGTGTGCTGTTACAAGAAAAATGTTTTCAGAGTACCCAGTGTTCTGGCAGACATGTGCTGCTTTCCGTGCTATGATAGTAGTAAGGAGAATAAATTAGTTGTCCTGAACCTTAATTCAAAAACTCTTTAACTTTTCATGTTTTTCTGCATGATAAAGGTGCAGTCCTAGATAGGATGGTCCAACATAATAATAAATAAGTGCTGAGAACAAATTGTGTTAGCACATTTTAACACTCTGTACTATATTCAGTGGTGTAGCTGATTCATATCATTGTGGTGACAGCCTCCACTTTAAAAATGTTACTAAAGCAGCCCTTGTACTGCTGACTTTTTTTACCCTCAGAAGATGCTGAAAGAGACAAGAAAATAAACCAGACAGATGACGATTTAGACAGCTCTAACAAAAAATGTAGTAAATCATATCAGGTGGCACACTAAAGCTAATGACTGAGATTTCTAAGGACTTAAGAATATACCTAATTTCTGTGCCCAAAATCTGAGAAAAGTCTTTGAAAGCAAAACTTACTTTAAATTAGAAAGAAAATACGTTCAGTAGTCTAATAGACATTCTGGAATAGAGAGAAAGAAATATTAAATGACTTAAAGAAACGGCAATTGCCAGCAGAGTTTGTCCCACTTTAACAGAAATGCTTCGTTTCCTACTGCTTCAGAAAATAAGTATTTATATTTACAAGAGAAAATACACTGTTCTGCACATTGAGAAAATCCTCCCTTCTAGTTTTCAAAACAGTCCTCTCACACAGATTTAGTTTTTCTACTACGTGCAAAATTCTCTAGACCTTTCAAAATTTTCCTGCAGTATGGACCAGATCTCTTGCAATAGTTGATTATGTGTATGCAGACTTAATGCCTTGAATTTGAATGTTTTTCCTCTTTTATTGAAACAAGCCTTTGTCTTTTTCAGAGGGATTGTAACAGGGCCTTTGCAATTTCTGGTGCATTTCTTCCATCTTTGTAATTTCTCCTATTCAGTTTCTCAAGCTTTTGTGTCAGTAAGCAAGTACTAGTTTTTCAAGCATGCACCATGCAAGTTAGTGTGTAAACATTTTTAAACATCTGTGCTTTAAACATCCATTATTGGATTTTGAATAGGTAACTGCCTGCTGTACAACATCTGTGTAGGTCTTGATGGCTGTCCCATCCTCATTGTTTTGAGACATTCACAGAGCTCACATCCTTAATTCCTTCAGTTCCACTGGAAGGGCTCCATAGTTCATGTGAAACAGTTAGATTTGAAAAAGTTAAATGGTAAATAAACAATTATAACAAAAACCAAACCAACAACAAAAAAAAAAAAACACAAAAATCCAGAAGACCAAACCCTCTGTGGATTTGTCAGAACAGTTTAAACAAGACCTTTAAACATCTGTTTAACTTCTTTCTAAGGCTGTAGTGGCTATTATGCACATATTTGTGCTGTTTCAGTGTTTGAGAGAATCAAAACACTTTGGTAGCATAATTCTGGTTTTGCGTAGATATAAATTATAGTATATCTTAATTAGGATCTTAATTCAAAATAGTAAGTTTTTTATTCCAGATTCTATGCACGCACACAGCACAAACACTGCGCTGCCGCTGCTCCAGTTTTCCAGGGAATGTGCAACACATTTTTTTGGAAGGTCTGTTAACTCAAGAGAGCTACTGATCACAGCACTGTAGTACGTACTTAAAAGGACATAAATCTATATTTAGATGCCCTTCTGACTCAGTTAAGAGTGTATGGGATTGGAAAGCATTTAGCATACAAGAGTTATCATTGCATTAGTTCAGTGGCACTCTGTGGATTTAACTTGATCATTAATGTTTACAAGGAGGGACTGGATAGGAGACTCAGGATGACAGGAGGCTGGCTGTGTTCAGTTTTATGCTATACTGGGCAAAGCACTTACGGCTATGTATAGGGAATGCTCTTGGACATTGATGTGATGAGTATCCCCTTCTTTTGATCCCCCTTCATCCACCTTCAAGAAAAAAATTACCATATATCCTATTGATATGACAGTTTCTTCAGTACTGGTAGGATTTCACAAAATTCAGTGAGGCCCATTCAGTTCTATGAGGTCCATTCGTTCATCTTGTGGGCTTCACTGCAGTTTTCCCATGGTTTGACTTGCTTATTTTCATGTTCCCTAAGAGGAAGCTGAGTGGTGTTCACAGTAGTTGAGTTGGATACAATTGTGGGAAGGATTACTTAGAGTGGTGCTTACAGGGCTCTGGACCATCACATGAGCTGCTCCTAAGACGCATACCCAGATGCTGGTAGGAGTCAAAGATGAGACCTGGACACACCAAGGGGCCTATGCTGGGCTGTGAACCCTGGCAGCATTTGGAAGAACCCTGTGTGAGCACTTGTAAAACTCAAGGTGATTTGTGCATGATTCAGCGTTTCCTGACAAAATTCCTTGTTAGAGTAGTGTTCCTCAAAATGTAGCTGTAATCTCAAGACTTGAATAAGTCTCTTAATGAATCTAGCACTGAATGTTTCTGGTCTGGATTCTCTTTATTTTAATCCCCATTTAATTTTATCATTTAATTTCCAAATTTTAAGCACTTAATGAGGCACATATTTGCAGAGGTTAGTCACCCGAGGCTTTTTTTTCATAGTCAAAGGAGGGGACACTGCTTCAGTTTTCAAAGTTCCGAACTGTTGTATTCAACATGGTTTTAGGAGATAAATCTAGAAATAGAAATGCTTATCGAAGAGAATATAATTATAACAGACTACTAAATTACTTCTACAATATGCTTTATAGTCAGTAAAATTGCTAACATTGTTAGTCATTGAGTAACTGTAAAAGTATTTATGAAGTGCAGTCATTTGATTCACATCTGTCCTCTTTTCACTGGCATTAACACATCTGCAGTCCATCATACCTTTTTTTTCCTCCTTTTACTGGCATAGAAGCAGCAGCTCCACAGGTGGTAAAGTGATTGGAAGAACTATATTTCAGCTGTTTATATTTGAGATAGTTACATTCAAATTTCTGTCTCTGTAATGCAGAAGCAGACAGTGCAGATAGTTTGGACATCTGAAGCTAGCTGCTATTAATGTTTAAAAAACCAGACCTACTCTTTAGTAATTGCTGTCAAAGACACTGCAAACTTCAACAACTCTCCTAATGTGGCAAATAATGCACAGAAATGTTACATAAGCTTTAACTCTGAAAGATACAGAGCTGAAAAAGAAGTGATTGCACTAAAATTTCACTTTCTTTTCAAGCTTCAAAATTATACAATATATAAATATTATGTGACAGGGAAATATAAATTATATATATAATATATATACTATATAATAACAGGACAAATACATGCAGAGTTATGAAGAATAGTAGTTTTCAATATGAGCAGAACTGTACCATATATACTTTTGAGCCCAGTTGGAAACCTTCAGGCATTTCTTTAATGCAGATACCAAATAAGTGGATCTTAGCCCATGATATTTTTCTTCTGATAGGTTAAGGCTTATTGCAACAGTAAAATGTTCTTCTTTTAATGATCTCTGCATTGTGGAAGAGTGGTATTTACTTCCCTCTGTATTTGAGGGGAAAAAAAAGGTAACTTCAAAATTGCTTTCGTTTTGTTCATCTGTTCCCTGAGATGACTGATTATCAGGCTGGACTGAAAAGCGGTAGGTAGGGAATAACTAGGAGAAGTTGTATGTCTTCTATAGAGGACAGCAAATTCAATAGAAGCAGCAGCTGTAGGGAGGAAGAGCTAAACCTGGAAGAAGTAGTAGTAAAATATAAGCACTGTAGCACTTAGCATTAACTTTCAGCATCACCACTTCTTATGCTGATCGCTATTTCTGTGAAGGGAAGAGTTTTCAGTTTCTTGGGAATCACAACCTTGGCATACAGTATAACGGGATAGTAAAAGCTCAATGTTGCCATGAAAATCTCATTTAGAAAGGGATTCTCCATGCTTTATGCAGCAACTCTGTGACTGGAATACCAAGACAAGTAGAGCTGGTAAGAATTAGGGTACTTTGTGTTTCCATTTTGGAGAGGTTTATTTTGCAGTCTGAAAGAGTGCAAACAGCAGAGTTATTTAACAGAGTCTACAAGTCATTTCCAGAAGTTTATCTGAATGAACTTATAAGCGTAGTCTCACCTTAACCCCACTGGTCATTCATATTCAGAGAGTCACACCAAGTCACTTGGAAAGAAAATCTGCTTGCTGTAATTGAAAATATTTTTAAATATTAGAGCTCTTGAGTCCTCTGTGTTACCCACTTCATTAAATCAGTGTTCTGCTGCATCTGTTTCCACATCAGTGCCCGTTGGGCATGTTATTTGAGCTCAAAGTCATCATGCTGCAACCTATTCTGAAATCATCTGGAGAGTTTCATTTAGTATTTGAAGCTGAAAATTTACGTTTAGTAACCCAGAGCTTTCTCTCCCTCATGTTTTTATTTAGTCAGCCAGTGCAAGCCCCTCGCAGGGAAGGTATTACTAAGAGTTACCTCAATACACACTCCTCAGGTCAAACCCACAATTTTTTATTCATAAATTGGTTTGTGAATTTAATCTTGGCATATGCCATCCAGGAGCTATGAGTAACCCTGACACACATGTTGAGACACTAAACTTGTATAGCCTCCATTTCTCCTACAGATTTCTATATTTACAGTCAATGCTTAGTATTCTATTTATTCCCTCCTCTACCTTTGTTAACTTTCTCATCTTATCTTAAATGGTTTACCAAGAGTTTTCCAAGTGTGCTGTGGAGACCTCCAACATAGTTGCTAAAAGGCACCAGAGCAAGAGAAAATAAATCTGGCTTGAGGGCAGGAGGCCTGATGCATTTGTCTGTACAAACCCAAGGTTGTGTTTGCCAAGTTTTTAAAGTTAAGTCATGATATTTGTGAACTGACTCAGCATGCAACCCAGTGCCTAGTTGAGCTGGGGATATTCCCAGACTGCCCCAACTTTGTGTATAACTCATAAATAAACTTCTATGACTTGCAGTTTTACAGAGCACAGATGTGGAAAATGAACCCCTTAGGGTGTCAAGTCAAAAACTGCCTAGTGTTAATAGTTTTCCCATAATATGCCCTGGAAGTATACCACTGTTTTAGTTGCTTCCCAGCCAAGGGTACCTTGATCTCTGATGATAGTGAGGTTTAGTTTTGGGAACCTGATAATGATTTGAGCCTCACATCTCTGTGACTGAGCATTTAGGTAAGTGACATTGCTAGGACTGAAGTGTATGTCTGACTGATGATGTGAGTAGTAAGAGCATTATGTAATATGCAGTGTGGTGTCACAGTTTTAACTAATGAAAGCTGTTGCTGTCAGTAATTCTATCCCTGTCCATACGTTCCTCCTGCTGGGTCTTGTGCTAGTTCTCACCATGCACACTTGCAAATGCTGCTAGGTCAGGGAACTGATCTGCCTGAAAACAAGCACTTCTGCTAGGAGTTACCTTTCTGTCTGACTAGTCCTCTAGTGTCACGATGCAAAGAGGCAGAGATTAAAAATACCTTTTTCCTTTTCCTATGGAATTTAGGTATTGAAATCAATCGTCAAATGTCAGCTTTATGTAGCATTGCATTTTGTTCAGACCTATATGCAGTTCTGGTCCAAACTCTGTACAGTTTACCTATACGTGTACACTCTGTATAGCTTTTGTAATATTTGAAAAGTAGAAGAAAGGTCTTATAGGCAATATCTGTCCACTGCAAAAACACTTCGTTATTATAGCTCCAGTGTACTAAAGAACCAGCTGCCTATTTCTATTCTAATGCTGTATTTTTTCAAGTGCTTTATTTAGTCCATAAATACCATGTTTGATTTCTTCACTAGACGTAACAACATTATTTAATATAGGCATTTCTCTGAATTTCATGCAGTTTTGTTACATTCAAAAGCAGTTAGAGAGGTTTGTCATACTTAGGTCAAATTGTTTCAATATATGTGTTATGTTTTGATGAGACTCCTCACCCTTTCTTTTCTTGATCTCTAGTATAACATACAAACAGATCAGTACAGAAGTTGTGATAACGTCTCTGCCAAATCATCAGATAGTGATGTCAGTGATGTGTCAGCCATTTCCCGAACCAGCAGTGCCTCACGCCTCAGCAGCACAAGTTTTATGTCGGAGCAATCTGAACGCCCTCGTGGCAGAATCGGGTGAGTTCTCAGTGCAGCTTCAATTGTAGCACACCCCCACTTTAATTCAGTGCCAGACTGCAACCAGAAATTACTGAATTTAGATAGCCAAAACATAAGAATTTATAAAAATTGTTATGCACATGTAAATAGTCTTTCATTGCTGGCCAAAGATGACAATATTTTTGCAGTTTTGCATCTAAAACAGAAAGTTAACTTTTTACAAGATGATGACTGATTAATAATGTATTTGTGGCAAATGGAAATTGAAGACACACTGTCCCCTCATTGCTGGCTCTCAGAGAAATCTATATGTCAATAAGGTATTATAGCAGAAATACTAGTAGATTTTTTTTATCTAAAGGAGTAGCTTTCGTAAAAGCTCTTTTTTTCTTCCAATCTATAAATTTATCTACCTATCTGTTTTTATTTTGATGTTTTTATGTATATGATAAATTTCAAACAAGTATTTTATAGTAATTTTGATCTCTCTGGTTCACAAGTAGTTTAATTCATTTGTTTTATCAGTAATCAAATACCTGTTTCATCCTTGATAATAACCTATTCTTGGTTTAGTGCTTTTTTAGATACACAGATTGATTCCTGTCTTCATTTAACTCGATGAGAAAACTCCCACCACATATAATGGCTATAGGATTGTCTTGGTAGTCTATGATTACATCTACCAATGTCTGAACTCTCAGAAATTTGCCTTAAAGTATTATAAGACACCAGAAGAACGAGAAACTATAAAAATAAAATCATCCACATGGAAGAAATCAGATGCCATCAGTTTGGATGGCATCATTTAGTACTTCAGAACACTTCTAGAGAGATTCACCATCCAAGAAGTTCAGCTGCAGGCTTTTTGTTCTGTTCACAATGGGAACAGGTGTTAGGGAAACTCAGAAACCGGCCTCTGTGTATGAACTAGCTCCATCTCATTTTTTTTGTGAAGGAAAGTTCATGAGGGTATTCAAAGTCATGTTTCATACTGGTGAAATTATAACCTGACAGCTGTAGTAATCCACAGTCCACCAGAACACTGCAGTGGAACTGTAAATGTATTAAAAGTTATTCAAGTGTTTATTTAAACTAATTTGTTTAAATGCTGCATCTCATTGCATCCTAGCTTTTCAGTATTTGTCTCTTACAGAGGGCTTTATTCATACCAAAATACCTGTATTTTCTAGACATTGTATTTTCTCAACACTGTTACAGTGTCTTTGGCAGGTTGAACAAAATATGATTTTTGTCCATAAATATCTCTGTGTTGACCATATTTTATCAGAAATGTTGCTTGGGTTCTGAATGTCTGATCACAGATACCAGAACCAGGAGAATTAGTAAGCTCATATGAGTCTGGAAAGGGAGAAACCTAGGGTCAATCTTTGCTCTCATTCAACCGCTTCCATTTTAATGAGTAGTAGAGCACCTTGGGTACAAGGTTAGTGTTCAAAACCAAGTACTTGCAATGGGAGCTCTAATTCAGCTTTACTCTAGACTCCTGAAGTGAGATGTAAGTAGAATCCAGATGCCTTACCTTTGTGATACTGTCCACAGAATCCATACCTCAGAGATTAGATAGTTTTGCTTGCTTTAATTTTCTCTAAATTCAGGTAGTATTTCCATTGTGAACAAAAGGTATAGTAATAATACAGAGTGCAACTCATTCAGTAGGAATATTAGGAAGAAACTAACAGATTCATAAATTAATCATAACTTTCAGTATTTGACCTCTAAGATGGCAGTGGTTTTGTTCCCCTGAAAGATCTTTTAAAATAAGTGGAACATGTCTAATGGACTATCTTTGCAATTAGCAGATTTCAACTATTAAGTGCAGTGGAATGAAATTAAAAATAATTTTGATGTTAGGCTGGAAAACATTGTATCCAACAGACTGACATCCACTGTTCAACGTTTTCCATTTGGGTTGTCCACAATTGTATTTAGTTGATTGCCTGTCATCATTATAAAAATGTCAGGTTTTAGAGCCCTGCAAAACTGTTATGTTATGGGAATTAGATCTCAAGAGAGGTCAGAATGGAAGGAAGGTGAGTGCTGAAGAAAAGAAAAGGAGATGGCATTTTGCTGATGATCTGAGCCAAGTCTGCTTCCTACTCTCCTGTGTCTGTACTGGTAGCCTCTGTCACACATTCTTTAGTCAGTTCTTCTTGTAGCTTACTTATTAAATGGAAATGAAAAGTTAATTTTGGGAAAGCACTGATTGTGTTACAGACAATTTTTTTCAGACTGAGATTCATGCTGTTTAACATTAGCCTTAGCAACTACGTATCTACAGTGAAGTTAATTAAAAATTAGTTTTTTGTTAAATAATTCATCTAACTTAATGAAATCATCATTAAAATGAAGAAAACACCTATTATCTCAGATGGTACACCTCATCTTCAGGTAGATGTCAAAGGAAGATTTGAAGGAATCCTAGATGACTAGTTCAGATTGGTTGCTTTAATTTTAGACATATAAAATTAAGTGGATTCTTTCTTTTAATTACTTACATTTCTTTAAGTTCAAGGATTTAGAAATTTGAAGTTCAAGTTTGATTAGTAATTTGAAGTTCAAATTTTATTTTTGCCTCCAAGGAACCTGACGTTAATATATATCAAGTAGGATGGGATGGGATAGGATGGGGTGGGATGGGGTGGTCAAGGAGGAGGGACAAGGAAAAGAGCAGGTTTTGACTTACTGTCTTCTGTCTTACTTGAAACCACATCTGTACCATCATTTTCTTTTTGAAGTGTATCAGCCCAATGGCCATGGCAAGTGTGTAAGCATAATGTTAAGTTTAAAGACAAAGTTCATTGAACTGCCTTTTTTATGCACCTACTTTTGTTGTTGTAAAACCTGGAAGCCATCTCTTTTTTACTTGTGGCTCTAAAGTCAATAGGTATTAGAAAAAAGTGTAGAACAATTTGTGAGGTTTTTGAACAATTTTTAATTTCAATGAGGCTGACTTTTTCAGTTACTTTACTCAAAATACAACATGCTTTTAATAATGTACAGAATTTATAGAATGAAGCACTACCTAAACAGCAAGGATAAAAACAGTTGATGCAGAACAACACAGAAATACATCTTTTTGAATAGCTAGATAACACTCTAACCTTTCTTTGGGTCAGAACTCATAAATTTGAACTTCTGTATATTAGGAAACTAGAGCATGTTGAAGAAGTTAGTAACACAGAGAGAATGAAACACAATCTTCCCTTTCCTTTAATCAGTGACAAGATTGTGTCTAAACCTTTTAAGGCAGAAGGGTAATTTCATTCCTAAAGTATATTTATAATTTAATTACCTGTCAGAAAGCTGTGACATAGCATGCATGAAAAATACCATTAGTTAATTCAGTCTGCAGATTTTGTTGATTAACATTTCTAATAGGTTGCAAGAGGGAATTAAGATTGATGCAAGTTCTAAGTATAAGTCTGTGCAATAGCTTCTTCATTTCTAATTTGTTTAGCATTTTCAAGTGAATGTTAGAACAAATGGTTATGTGTGGATAAACTGATCTGCATGTGAAATTATTCCAAATGTCTTTCTGGTTACCATCCTGGGAAGCCTGGTTGACTGCCATGCTCTCTAGTGGAAGTGCAGACAAATACCAGGAATTTTTTTCTGGGAACAAAATGTTCTGGGACTTTTGAATTGAATCAGACTTGTGAATTTGGCTTGCCATAGTATTTGGAGTTGTATATTTCATGACTGAAGTCAGTTTACCAGTACTCCTTTATGGAGGTTTCTTTTCATCAGTCATGGTCTTTATGCATTCGTAACACAGTCAAGCAGTACTTTGTGTCTGTGTATGCTACAGATGTTACCGTGTATGACTCAGAAACATTTCTCGCATCCTAAATGAAGCAGAAGGGAATTTTTTCATGGTTTAATGCAAAGGATTGATAAGTAAGAATCCATGTTAAATACATGATGATTAATCAGCACCATATGGGTTTGATCAGACAAAGAAGGACATTTGCTCACTTCATTAAAAATTATGCCCAATGCTATCACTGCATCATTTTTCATTAGGGGTCTGCTTATGCAAAGGTACCTGGACTTCTTGGTGCTGTCAAGTAGGGAACTATCATTCATAGATAAGGTGAGCTGGAGGCTTCTGTTTTGGAGGATTTAGCAAGTTGGCTACCATAAGCTGTTTCACTTAAATCTGATCAAAAAATACCCGATAAATATATGACAGACTTGATACCTGCTTTTAAGGTGAGTTCTCTCAGTGTATCTGGTTTTCTAACAAAATGCCCCTGCATTAGGAATATCACTGTTACTCCTAATTCTAAATTTGAAAATCATAGCTTTATTAAGAATTCTGTTTCATATATTATGTGTGATATAATTATGTATGTGCCATATTTTAATCTGACTTTACATGCTTTGCTTAACTGAATGCTCAAGTTTAAGTAAAATATTTTAAATGAGTTATGTAAGAAAGAGGGTTGTAATAGTGGACATTAACCAGTCCTAGTTTATTTCACATGTGCCATACTACTGAATCGTTTGTATCACAAACATATAGTTCCTGGGATTCAGGTGGGTTCTCTGTACATTACTGAAGGGAAAGCCATTTTTTGTTTCATACTGGCAGACTCTGTCTGCCAAAGCTTTTCATCCCCAGTTTCCAGAACAGCGTATACAACTTGCAGGTGGCTTCTATGCATTCAGTAAACTAGACTTTGTTCTGTTAGTCACTGTGGAGCTAGTTTCTTCAACCTCTTAAAGTGATGATCTTAATGATGCAATTTGATCTAGTGCTGAGGCCAGCTTTCCCTTCATGGAATGATTCAAGGCACTAATACAGGGCTCAGATAGCTGGAATTCCCTGGTGAACTGGTAATCTCAAAACACTTAAGTAATCACTCAGTATGTTGACATGGAACATGACCAAAGAGTAGTGAGCTCTTGGCACAATGGCCTGATTCATCACTGGAGGATCTCTTTTCATGCTGTTCGCATTTGTCATCTTGACATTTGTACTAAGATGGATATTT